GCATTTTCGTTTTTCGCGATTATCTCGGAAACTATGAGAGATAGAGCCTTAAAACCAAATTTGGGTCCCCTATAGGCAAGTGAATGGCCCAGAATTGCGTTTTTCCACTTCCTAGGCTTTATACAAGAGGAATTAAATTAATTTTTTATTCGGGTTTTCAGTTGAAAACCCGAGTTGAAAACCCGAGTTTGTAGCAGCGATGTCAGATAAGATATGAATGTTTTTTTGGGCTCAAATGAAAGAGTGGGTCGAGAAATGACGTGCTAGAGCCTCTAAAGATGGTTTTGAACCAGGGGAGACTCCTAGACCCCACTGGACAATATTGTCACAATTGCGCTTTTCAATTGAAAACAGAAGGTGAAAATGAAGGTGAAAAACGTGATCAATTCGTGGGGAGGAATTCCTCTAGAAAATGTCTCGATAGAAAAAGTTGTATAGAAATGTTAAATTCTACAAATTTTTTCAGGTCAGTGATAGTCAATGGTTAATATAATATTAATTGCAACAGGTCGTACCCCTCCAATGAGCCCCTCCAAGATCCCCTCTCCGATCTACTCGCGATCGAAACGCCTCCCCCGAAGCAGACACGAGGCGAGTGACAGCAGTCTCGACGCCGAGGTCCACCAGCGAATGGCCTCGACGATGATAGACTCTGGAGGTGAATCAGACGAGGACACCAGCAACAGCTACCCCACGCCCCCCCACAGCTCCCAAAGAACGCCGACACACTCCCTAGTGCGCCGAGGCAGCCTCTCGGAGTCCCTCTTCAAACGAGTCAACACGTCTGATTGTCGAAGGAGCATGCGAAAGTGTCCTGACAAAAAAGAGGAGATAAACGTGCCAAAGAGTCCGTCCCACATGCTGGCAAGACTTCACCTAGACCGTTCCAATTCCCTGGAGCACCGGGGAAATCACTCAGACACTGCAGAGTCAAATTCCTCGCGTCGCAGTAGCTTGAGAAATTACGAGGAGAACTTCAAGCACACGAACAGTCCGATATTAAACCGTCTACGATCGACAACCCCTAAATTAACAAACAGTCCGATCCTGGGGCACAAGGCACTAGCCAGTAGACCATTAGCTCCGAATATCGAACGTCCAAAGCAGCTGGCTAAACCTGGAAGTCAGTCCAAGAACATTGGTTACTTCACGTGTGTGGAGAGCAGTCCATACATGCTGAGAAAGTCCCTGAGTACGTCCAACTATCGAGAGGAAATGTCCAAGGATAAACTCTCGAATCTCCATGGGAGCCCAATGCTCTCGAGGAGCACGAGCATCCAGCGTTCAGCCTCCAACACCAGCATCAGAACCACCAAGACGAAGAGCATGCTGACGAGGAGAAGTAGTTTCAACGACAATAGCAACGATAGACTATTAAAAACAAAACTAGCTCACTCTGACAGCAGCTCGGAGACAGGTGAGGCAGCGACACCAGTCCCTCCAATATCCTCAGGAATAAAGCTGAACAGAACCTTCAGCATGCGTCGTGCACGCCTCAGCTGCGAGTCAGAGTCAACACCGAACACAACGCCTGAGGAGCGACGCAGGAGAGCACAATCGGAAATCAAATCAGCCCCCACTTCTGGTAGACAGGCGCATCATCGAGGGAGAACGAGTAGTGTTGGTGCTAGTAACAAAGAAGTCTTCAAGAAGCCTGAACCACCTAAGCCGAGGGGTCCGTCGTTATCCAGGAATGAGGGGGGGAGGTACAGCATGAGGGCGCAGAAGACAAGCCCCTCGACGAGGCCTAATCAAAAAGCTAGTAAAGAGGGTAAGAATTCAGGGAGAAGTAACTCGACGTTGACGTCGAAGGAGGTGGAGTTTCAGAACTGGAAGAGGAGGAAAAATTATGATCCTATGAAGGCGGCTGCTGAGGGGAAGAGGAAGTTGGATGTTAATAAGAAGCATCACAGCACTGAGGATGGAAATAGCAGGGATAGCTCTGTCCTGAGGTCTGCGAGCTTTCATGGAACTGGGGGGGCTCTGTCTCTCGCTGATGATTGGTCTGATAATGAGGTTAATTTCGGGGGAGATGTTCAGCCACCACCCTGCAGCCCTCTGGGCTCTGACAGTGATCTCGATACGTCCAGTTATCTTCAAACAACTCACAATGTCATGTCTGCCATGTCGGCTAGGATTAATGTGTATCAGGGGAGTGCTGTGGACTCTGGGGGGGAGAGTGATGAGGACACCAGTCACAGTTTGAGGCAGGGGAGGGTGGGGAGGGAGACCAGTGACACTGAGAGCAGTGAGGAACAGGGGAACAGTGGAAATAGACACTTGGGGTTCAATAGGGGGTTTGTGGGGAGGAGGAGCAGGGAGCCAGAGGCTAAGGCCCCTCAGGCTAAGGCTAAGGTAGTTAATAGTGCGAGGTCCAAGTCGGAGGGGACTAGCATTGCTAGGACTGACTCAGGGAGGTTCAGTGTGAGGGCTGCTAAGGGGAGTGCTGTTAAGGTGAAGCCTAAGGAGGTGAAGAAGAAGGAGAGCTTGGTGAAGGAGCAGGAGATGCAGAACTGGAAGAGGAGGAAGAGCTATGATCCCATGAAAGCTGCTGCGGAGGGGAAGAGGAAGGCTGGCATGGTCAAGAGGAGTCTCAATTCTGAGTCTTCCAGGTAATTCTTGGGGCGAGGGGTGAGGGGAGCCAAGTGGTCCAGTTTTTGGGGGGATAGAGGGCAATGTCTATACTGTTTGAAAAGAATTGCAGACGTTGGAAGCCATTTTCAAGAGAGCGACAAATTAATTGGAAATTCGGGACTATATTTAACTGAATTTACTTCATTTTCAAATTCCAGTAATTTTTTTGATCTAATTGTGAATTTTTAAAGATATCCAAGTACTTGGGGTATTTTTTACCCAGTGAAATGCTCTTCTACTTTTGTCAATCGGAATTTCTGGCTTTCTGTAGTTTCAAAAAAAATCCCAAAAACGCCCACTTGGAGATCCTCAGAAATAGTGTAGATTCTAGTTTTAAAGAGGTATTGATGTAGTCTCATGATCAATTTCACTTTTGCTAGGATTCGTAGCGATCGATTGTAGAGATAAACCTTCATCTGAGGAAGTGGTATGATATGGCTTTCAAGAAAACACGGTTTTTGAGTTTTGTGGACAAGTTTTTGTTGCTTTACCGCAGTGATTGGCTTCGTTGCACAGACATTCAATCATTCACCAGTATTTTTTCATTATTATTAATTACACGAAATTACATGAAATCGCTTTTTGTAGTTTCTCCCTGAGATAAAGAGCACAATTTGCATAATTCAGTGGAGGTGGTACAATATTTTTATTGGCTTAATTGAGTTTAATTGGTACTTTTGGTTTTTTAGTGTCCTGAGATCTCAAAGCTTCCACGGGCCAGTGACCCTAGGCTTAAGTGAATGGAGTGATGAGGATATTTCAGCATCAGCCGACGAGGCACCAATCTACTGATGTCCCCTCCACACAAATAATTCTCAAAAGGCCAAGTTTACAATCTCGAAATTAATTCAATTCACTATTTAAATAATGATCCATGACTTTCGTTCTGTTTTCTGAGAAGTTTATTATTGATGATAAAAATTTATATGATAGTTTTCTTTGAGATACATGGAATTATTTTCATTAGCAAAGAAACATAACAATTGTTGAACTTGAAGATGTACTGGAGAACATTTTTTCAAGCTTGTTTCGTTCATCTTTTTGGGTTTGAAAGTTAGCTGTTATTGATATGAACAATTTAAGAATTGAAATTGTATAAAATTAATTTAAAGTGATGAATTACAAAGGGCGTTCAATCCTAGATCTTTAAATAATTGTACAAAACGAAAACTTACGGAGATTTTATCAATTAGTTTATGGTATTTTCATATTTTTCAGAAATGCTAATAGCTGTAGCTTTACTATTATCATCTTTCCTGTTTTTTTTTTTCATTTTCGCAGAGGTGTATATTTATCTCGTTCATTACTTTGTATCAAAAATATTGCCAGAGTTGAGGGATTTGTTAAATGCTGAGTGTGCCTCTGCCACTGACCTCCGCGAAAACACTATTGTTAAAATGTTAATTGAATTTTGGACGTTGTTCAATTTTTTTACACTTCAGACTTTATTGTGATTTTCTTTTGTTAATTTAACCAATAAACAAGTCCAGCAAATAAAAGAATCATCATCATTTATTCCCTAAATCACTTACTTCACATTTCAATCAACTTAATGTTAACAATAACTTCCTGAATCGCTTGATTATAAAATCAAAGTAATAATTATTCATAAATCCCTCATCAACCCATCAATGTCTCTTCCTCTTGTCATCCCTCCGATGCTCCTTCTCATCCTTTCTCTTAGACCCCGAGGATGAAGCAGCCCCAGCACTGGTGGCAGTCCCACTGGCCCTCTTGGCCTGCTTCAAGAACTGATCCAGCCCAAAAGGATCCTCCTCATCCTTCTCAAACTGCACAGGCCCAGCCCTCGTAGCACTCCTGTCAGTCCCCGAGAACTCCTTATCAGGCACAAATCTATTCGTCTTGACCAGCTTCTCCAGATCATCCCCATAATTGTCCTTATCGATGTTCTTCCCAGGTCGATAGATATGAGACCCCAGGGAATTGGAGTCCCTCCAGGGTTTGTCATAAATATTGTACTCATCATCATGCCCATACCCACTGTCCATCCCCTTAGAAGTATTAAACAACCTCTGATCAAACTGGGCATCGCCAGTGGACACACTCTTGGCAGGCATCCCCAGGGCGATCTGCTCCGAAATATCCCTCTCCCGTTCACGCTGTAGCCTCGATCGTTTGTCAGGCGCAGCCCTCGCAAGATTTCTCTCACGCGCCCTGTCCTTGTGCCTCTCATTCCTCAGCTGGTCCCTCTCCCTCGACTCCTCAGCCTTGTCAAGAGCAGCAGCTGACTTCAAGCCCGCCCTCTCCTCCCTCGCCTTCTGCGCCAACTGCCTCAAGTGATCCTCCTTCTTCTCCTTGTCCTTCTGCGCGAGCTTCTTCTCAAGCTGCGCCCTAGCCTCCACAGCCTCCCTCGCCTTTCTGTCAGCAATGTACAGGGCCTCAGCCAATTTAGCAAAATTCTCGTTGATGTGAACCTGCTGGAGACCTCGACCATCAGCTGCCAGACGTTTGTCCAAGGGGATTGTGTACCCTTTGGCGTTCTTCCAGTTACTGATGCAGGGAGGAATCTTCCACTCTTTCTGCTCCTTCACTGTGACTTTTCTCGTGGGTGAGTGCATCACTGGGGCTGGCGGGGAGGGGGGCCCTCTCGGGATTTTCTTGTTGATTTTGAATTTTGGGGGCTCTATGGGGTCCACCTGGGCCTCCACCATTCTTATGACTCTTTGTTTAGCTCCTGAGTTGAAGGATTGCCCCTGCTGGGAGGGGGTGTAGCGGATGTACTGGGCTGGACCCAGTTTCTCTGCACAACGAACTGGCATGGCTGCTGCTATTTTCGACTGCGTTATCTTCTCCAGGGCCTTGCGCGTTCTCTCTGTGATCTCTGCTATTTCCTCCTCGTCGGGGCGCTGCAGGGAGGGATCGTTTTCAGAGGTTATTTCGGAGGGGAGGAGGTCACTCAGCTTGCTGTAGACCACTTTGTCCTTTGCGTGGCCCTGACGAGCTAGCACGTCGTATTTGACCTTTCCCTGGGCATCCAGTTGGACCGCCAGGGCGTTGCTGGAGGACTCTTTGCCCTTCATGCCCATCCCCAGGGGGTACTGCGCCACCTGGATCTCCGGGAAGGCACCTCCGTCCCCGAAGTCCTGGAAAGGAGAGGGAAAATGTAGTAAGTGGGTGAGATGAGGGCCAGATCAGGGCTTTCAAGGGAAAATCGACATGTTTTGCTGCATTATTAGAGGAGAATAATTTCTTTTCAAACAAGTCAAAATTTTTATCTGGAATTTCTGTATTTTTTTCAATAAAAATGTTTTCATTGTATGAAATTTATCATTTGCTCAGTGGACAAAGGATTATTACATGTCAATGAATTCATTCTTTTTGTCATCTGCAGACACATGAGTCATCTGCCACATTTCGTTTAAAAAATAATTTGATTGTATGTTTTAGTTGTGGAATATTGGAATTATTACCTCGGGGGTTCGAGGCACCCATCCTTTCCGTTGTCCATACGGTGGGGCTGTTATAACTGCCTTGACAAGAGCTGATACTGGCCTCTGGCGAAGTTTCTGCTCTCGAGCCTCGTCCTCGCGGTCCCAGACGACCTGGCTCGGTGCTGGGAGAAGGCTGGAAAGAAGGAAAACCTATTAATATTAGTAGTATGAGAACTTTGGTCTAGGATTCCGAAGAATAATGCGGAAGTGTTCAAAACGACAAACATAACCTCGATGAAGGAAAGTTATGAGGGTCGTTCGGAGGTGAATTATCTGGATTTTTTGGGGAGTTATTGAGTAGTATTTATCGAGGAGAAGTTGTTCGTGGAGAGATGAGGGGTTATGATGAGTATTTTGATTAAATGATATCAACAAACCTGGCTAAGGACATCTTGTTGATATGCGAAGCCATCGAACTCTTCTTTTTTATTTTTTTCACTGACTGATATATGTTGCAGCGGTTTTCCCTCTGGCGGGGCATTTCATTGTTAATGGAGGCGCGGATGGTAATGGAGGGATTAGCATTATTCCTTGGAGTATGGAGCGGGAGATTTTGATGGGCGTTAACAGTATAGGGGAGGGTATCACACGGAAAAATTTATATTTTGAAAAATATATAAAAAAGTATCTTTAATTGGTCCAATTTATATTGAAAAAATATATAAAATATATGATTTATCTATTTTTTTTATATATTCTTTATAAATTTAGAAAATATATGGAATTGACCCATATTACATTTTTTGTATGGGGGGTGGAAAATTTTAGTCCATTTATGCCCTGACTCGAATTGCCAAATTTCCGCGAAATTTATTATTTGAACACTAAAATGAATTTGTAAATTCCTGATGGAGGTCGAAACAAACGCCGAAAATATCCTTGGTCATGAGTAATTCATTAGTTTAATTAATGATATTGATTATTTGAAAACGGGAAAATTTTCTTGCAAAGCGCAAAAAACTCTTACCGATTACTTCATTTTTCATGTTTATTTTGCATTCACAATAAATATTTCAATTTCAATTTTTCATTCAGTGTTTCCTTGATGTTATAAAAATTTTTCTTTGTTTTACATCTATACCTAGACAAAATTCTAAGAAAGAATTTCGTTTGAGTCAAATGCACCCCGAAGGATTTTACTCCTGGATAATTGAAATCAAATTAGTTTGACGAAGACGAAAAAAAGTTCAATTGAAATCCTGTCGAAACAATTCAGTGTACAATGGCCGTCACAAAAACCTTTTAACCCAGATGCAGAATAATCAAGATCAGGACGTGTGTCAAAATGAAAGACAGAAAGAGCCAACAATCGAACGGAAGAAGAAAAAGAGAGGCGTCGAGGGTTTATCGGTAGAGGTCTTAATGGGCCCCTGAAAATAATCGAATCGTTGACGATGTTTTATGCTAAGTAACCGATCCCCGTTCAGATCACGAATACCGGGTGCTTAATAATGGGCACACGGGTAACAATGACAGTTTTGACAACCCGTTCAGGTCAGGCTTGTTAAAAACCGCTAAATGCGTGACAATCATCGTGGCCTTTAAAAGCCATTCGAGTTTGGCTTAACGGCTCAGTCGATTGTCGTAAATCTCGGGGAATATGAGGAGAACTGAGTGGAGGAAAAAGTTCAGGTGTTCAGGTGTTCCTTGGGGATATTGGGTGGGTGCAACTTCGAGTTTTCGCTCGGAAATAAATTAAAAATCGAATGACAACTGATGAATTAGGATTAGCCTTCGAGGGGAAACCGCGGTGAAATTTTCCCTGAATATTATAACCGTGAATCTGAGGAATATCTCCGAATCTAAGGGAGAAAACGAAATTTTTATAAAAACCTTTTTTGTAGAGCGAATGAAGTGTTACAAAAAAGGTTGCAACAAAAAAATTGCTATCTCCCTTACATTTCCAGATATTCATTAAAAACTGGCCGATAGTAAAAATCGATTTGAACTCTTTTACCGTTTCGCTAGGAATTAATAACCAAAGATTTAAAAAGAATTAATATTTTGCAAAATGTTGTTTGAGTGATGCTGATGGACGCCGGCCTCAAATTTTCAGATTTACGTATGCACTGCTCTTCAATCTGCGCTCACCTCCGCAACTCACGAAGCATTGGCTCTGAAAGCGCAAAACCTCGAGGACACAGTGTTCATAAACTTCCCCAGGAACTCAAGCGCCTCGAGAGCAATAGCGAGGCACTTGTACCTCCCTCCGGAGGAGCCCGCCTTCATATTACCGGAAGTGATCGACAACCGCGTTAGGAGTGTCTTCCCCAGGCCCACGCAGCCCCCAGACATCCAGTTGAAAGCCCCAAGTCCCAGTGAGCCATCGAGCTACACCTACCCGACAACCAAACAACCATCGAACCCCGCAAAACTCCCGAAAACCTCGCAATCCGACGTCTCCAACTCGATCACTCTCACCTCGATGTCCTGCAGGAACGCAGAGGACGAGGTGTACTTTCGAGCCTCAGTCACCGCCCTGAAGTCCAGGGATGTTCCTGTAGTCGAGGGAAGTGGCAGTGACAATTGCAGAATCGAAAGAATCGGCGATGAGTTGAAGATCAACTTCTCCGGGGATTTGTTCTGGAATTGCGGGGTGCAGGACTGCTCAATCGAGTCGGGAAAATTCTACTGTCTCAATCTGCGATTTCCGGCGATTTCTGGGCTGCGGCTCAAGGAGGACACGAAGGTCCTACTGAGATGCAGAACTCAGGAGCGAACTACTTCGCATACTAAACGATTCAACGTTAAAACGATTGATACGTAAGTACACCGAGAGAAATTCTCTAGAAAAATTCGAGTGCGAAAAATATGACGGATATTAATCGGCGATAATAGTGACAATGAGAATACAAAAAAATGGAAATGATTAAGGGCTGATGTGCTTCCGCTTCGAGTCATCTTAATCTCTTTTTTTTGCCGGAAATTTTAGACTCAAAAGTGTTTGATGATTATGACACTATCTTAAAATGTTCCAATATCAATTTTTGCATGCGATTGTGAGTAACACTGCGGTTTATTTATTTAGTTCCTGAGAGTACCAAATTAGTTCGATTAATGAAACAGCTTCAACACTGGTCTGTTCACGGAGATGAATTTTTTAGAAAAATTCTAGTGCCGGCACAAGAAATTTTATTGGGGAAAATGTGAATTTTTCTCCGGATTTTTCTCAAAATTTCACAGAAATACCAAGAAATTTTACTTTAACAGCACTGGAATTTTTCACAGCCGGTGGATTGTAATTTTTGTCAGTACTCGTACTAGAATTTTTCTAAAAAATTTCTCTCCGTGTTGACCCCAAATGGGATTATTTTCACGGGGAATGTTAATCCTGGGGGATAATTAATTAATGAGGACGATTACGGCTGCTCAGCTCCGCAAGAATGGCAGCGCGGGTTGCTACCGGGGGCCATAAGAATTCATTCGAAACGGAGATTGGTTTGTATCGAAAAACTTTTGGATCGGAGCACCTGTTTGATGCCAGGATCCAGCCCGGTGGCACCGTTATCCTCGGGGAGGAGGTCCTGTTGAGAGCTGTAGTACGCGACGGCGATGGTGAGGACTAGTTATTCGAATCAATAATTCATTCGTGAAATTTGTAAATTCATGTATTGATATTGAGGCTATGCAGGTGGGACTGGCTCTGTGATAAAATACGGCTTTGAGAGATCACGTTCCGAGTGTTTTTAATGGTTTCATGAATAATCATCACAAATCAATTTCAACTCCTCACGTACGGGGTCGACCCGTGCGAATGTGAACGCTTGTTTTCAAAATTGATTATTTCTAAATCTATGAGAAATAACTCGATCAGACAAACAAAATCGGAAAACGGAATACTGTAGCTTCAATCCGATACCGGTTTCATAATTTTCCATTCATTAGAAATAATCGAATTCGAGTCGTATTGAGCACACGTGCATTTAATATACAATGATGTAGATTGATTGGTCGCTCTCTTCCAATTCAACATTCATTTGATAAAACAGGAGGCGCTTATAATTCTCTGTAGAATTAATTCACCCGAAAAACATATAAATGTCTCACGAGAAAACATAATTTTTCGGGAAAACTATTATTTTATTTTGCTCTCGGTGCGCATTCACCTGAATTTAAAACGCTTTTAGCAACAGAAAACTCCCAAAAATTGGGTTTCTTGAGGCTGGAATTCATGGCAAGGATTGAATACCTGCAATAATAATTCAATTCTTCCCCCTAAAAACATTTCAGGCTGGAAATACTCAAAAATCAGTGACGTAACGATCAACTTTATTGAGAACAATCGGCAGAAGAGAATTATGAATAGCGTATGGATATTGGACTCGAACGGTTGTCTCAACCCGGAAGTCAGGGAGATCTGTTCGAGAGAGCAGTACAGAGTTTCCCCCCTCGAGAGCTACCTGATCTTCGAGGCTTTTATGTTCGACAACATGAGAGAATCCGACGAGTTAATTATGAACGTAAAAATCACCGGGTGCTTGGAGGGCAGTGACTGCACTCTGAATTGTCCCGCGAGTCACGTGAGGAAGACCAGAAGCCTGAAAACCTTTCATAATAACACCATTGACTGGCTAAACGACATTTCTTTCAGGGTTGTACTGCCGGAGAAGGAACATTCGAAATTGTCTAGTAAAACTCATATGGTCGTTCCTTATATACTTTCCTCGCTGATTCTTGTCGCTATAGCGGCGTTACTGTGTACTATAAAGATAATGAAGAATCAGAAAATTGAGAGAAATCTGATTTAACTCAGCACACGGAAAAATCTAAGCATTAATTATTTTTAAGGATTTTAAAGTATTTTTTACAGTTTGGTATATACAGACCGCTCATCATCAAATTTATATTTATGTATGAAATCAATTTCTGATAAGAGTCTGAATATGAATAAATTTGTTACGATTTCGACCAAATGATTTTTACGGTGGAAACTCGATTGTTTATAAATTATTAACAAAAAATGCTGGTAATTTTCAAAAATTGTAATTTGCAAATTATCTCATCAATCTTTCTCCAAAATTAAACTCCTTAATTTTTCTTTCAGACTTTTAAAATGCTTGCTAACGGTTGAATATCGAGATTTAAATTCAGATCTGCAGTTTGAATAATGAAATCATTTTTAAATGCCCGGAAACATGAAGGTAAAAGGGGCTTAACCCATTGCTTCGCGTAAGACTCGAATCGTCTCGGTGTGAGAGGAAATATCTACAAAAAAATCTTACGGGACAATTGCGGCAAACAACGAACAGGATCTTTAATATAACTCTTTCAACATCGCATTATTTATTCCCCAATGTTCAGTAAAATTTCCGTAAAATTTCTCAAACACCGGACTGATTGTTCCACAAACCACTCTTCATTCAAGAAAGTAACTATGAATATTAATTGAAGAAAACCATTGGAATTTATTAAAAAAACCATTCGCCCCTGAAAATCAGAAGATGATGTAGAACCCATCGAGCTCCCAACACAGTTTGATCCCCAGGAAAAACCCCACCGTGGAGAAAGCGACATTTCTCATGAAGGGGTCCACGTACATCTGCGACAAGATGCACTTGAGCGAGCACTTGCACATGTCATCGAAGTACCGGAAGCCCTTGCGCAGCAAGTAATCATCCATCTCCGCTTGTTTCTTCTCCCTCTGTCTCTCCAGCCACTTCTGCCTCCGGCAATTGCTGTCGCACTTCTTCGGCTTCTCCTCGGGAAGTTTTGTGGGATCGTGTTCACACAATTCTGGACATTTTTCCGAGCTACTGGCGGTCTCCTCGTCCGAGGACTCACTCTCCGACGGCGGTCTCTTCCGCTTTGTTTTCACTCCAATTCTCCCCCCTCCGCACGTCTCATCCTCGCACCCAATCCCGTCCTCATCGTCCTCGCAGGATTCAGTTTCTGTCGACTCTTCCCCCAGGAATTTCGACAGATTCACTGTGGCGCATTTTGAGGAACTCTTCGTCATTTCGGAAATGTCTTCTTCAGTTTCGCTGGACGGTCGAGTTCTCCGTTTTTTCCCGGGGATTTTTCCACTCGGGGTCGATGGGTAGCTCCTCTCCGAGGAGTAATCGTCATTGGGAAATCTCTCGGGGGATTTTTGGGGCTTCTTGCGAGCACTTGCTTCCCTTTGCGGTCTCTGGTCCCTCTTCCTTCCCGGAGTTCGTCTTCCCTTGGTTCTGGCAGTTCCTGTACTCCTTCCTGATATTGTCTGGTATTCTGTCGCGTCGGTTAATATCGAATCCAAGTCCGTTGCCACTTCGACCCCAGAGGCGTACTCAGTCGCTGCGTATTTGTCCTCACTCTTTCTTGAGACTATTTTGTTTATTTGAAATAGGAGAAGTTGTTGTAGTTGGGGAAGACCATAAAAATATCAAAACGGATATAAAAAATGGAGCCAGGCTTTTCTGGAACCAGCTGATTTAAACGAAGTGGCAGTCAACAGTCTTATTAGCCTAGTGAAAGGCACACGGCTAGGGCTGATAGACTCACCGAGGGGAAAACCCGGAAGTTACAAAAGATCGCAAGATTTAGGTGACTCTGGGCGGTTAATCGACCAGCCGCGTATATATCTAAACGAGAGACGCTACCGCATCTCCTGATTCTAAAATTCTACTAACATACGATTATATGTTATATATTTTATATATAACGTATAAAATTTATTTATGTCACACGGCGATGAAAGCATTATCTGACGAATGGGACTTTATAATTACATGAGTCATAACGTACTATTTTGATGTTAATCTTGAAAAATTGAGGTGTATTAGGACACCTTACAAACATGGGGGAAGAATCTACAATAGGTGTTTTGTATCTGGTGTTTAGGTGTCGACATGAAGGTGATTAATTAATTAATTTTACCTTTCGACTGTCGTTTCTTTTGCTTGCCACACTTCTTGCCGCAGCCGGGCATTCTGAATAATTATTGTGAAATTTGTTGGTTGAGGGGATGGGAAAATTATGAGAAAATTGTGAGGTTTTAAGATTAAAAAGAAAACAAATGACGAGTGATATGAAGGCTTTCATCAGCATCTCCGCTCCAACTTTGCTCCGTCACATTTCGGCTGGAAATTGTGAGAATGATCTTTGCGAGTGTTTGGAGAGGGAATCGTATGGAGAATATTCGGGGACTGAAGATGAAATTAAGGAGTCGTTCGGAGAAATTTCTCTTCGGGGGGAGGAAAAAGGACTAGAAACGAACGCGAAATTATCCCTGTGGGAAGAGATTTTGGGAGAGTTCAGGGAGGAGAGGAGGGAGTTTGAAGAGTGGGAGAGAGAACAGGAGGAACCGGGGTCGGAGAAAACTCCTTGTGAAGCTGTTGAATATCTGAATAAGGAGATTTTTCCGGTTTTACTGCCTGCGATGGAGAAAATGTTGAGGGAAGCGCGAAAGTGGAACGCGATAGAAGTAAATTTCACAAGTTTATATTCCATTTGTGATTGAATATCAAAGTGTCTCGGGAATGAAGCACTTGAGGATATTTTTTCTCCAGTGAAATGCATTTCCACTTTTCCAGCTGAACATTAGACATTTCATTTGAGCCCCATTTTCCCCCAGATTTCCAGACATTTTACATTTAATTTGAATTCCGATATTGAACCGTTAAAAAACACTTTGAAAATCTGAAAAAAAAAATTTTTTTGGCCAAAAAATAATTCTGTGCAAAATGTTCCTTGAATGACGCTGAATATTCATGATTTTTTCAAATTGTTCTCACACAATTTAATTGATAAATTCGATGGTTGGAAATTTTGTCTAATAATTCCATTTTTTTAAATGAAACGCTAGGTTTCGCTCTAGAATTTTTCCATGTGTAATTACATTTTTATCATATTCCAAAAATTGAATGATAATTGAAGATGAATCTAACAGGATCCGAAATGTCGATTTAACGGTTTGGATTATCTAGCTGAGTATTTGTGGAATAAAAATCCGGAGCATCCTGAGAGGCGATTCAATTGGACTGGAGTTTTTGAAATTCCACCGTTCAGGCGTTGGTTACAATCCAAGTAAACTTTTCACTAATTAATATCGTCGATTAATCTCCCATTTACATATGTATTCATATGTAAAAATTTCTCGTAACAGTCCTAGGCCAATTTATCCGAAATCATGGCTCTGGACTAGAGACGAGGCGGCATCGGTGATCCAGAGGAATGTTCGGGGGTGGATCGTGAGGAAACGAAGGGATATTCAGGAATTGAGAGAATTCTGGAAGGTTGAAAAGACATTAGCAAACAATTAATTCAGTAGCGAAGCGGTAAACCGGGTTAAGTCGATTTTGACTTTTGGCCATTTTTTGACAAATATCTCGGAATTTAAGAGATATAGCAAAATTTACCTCAAGACCTTTTTTATAACCCTCAGTTGACTTTACAAATAAGGTCATGACAAAAATTTTTCTATATTTTTTAGATTCCCAGATATTCGTCAAAAACTGGCCAATAGTCAAAATCGACTTAACCCGGTTTACCGCTTCGTTACTGAATTCAGTTCGTCACTGATTTTTGTAAATAAGAATGAACATCAACTCGATGGCTCCTAAAGGAAACTACGTAACTCGTAAAACATTTCCGTTCCTGAGTTACGTGTTTCGGAATTATCACTGAAATACGTGGTTTTGGAAATGTTTTCTGTGTTACGTAATTTCCTTTAGGAGCCATCGAACTACTTTTATCTTCTGTTCTAAAATCCTCAGGCTCTTGCTGCAGAGAGAGCAGAAGGTGGTTCATCAATTGCTTCCATTAATTTAGGTAAAATAAAAAAAAAAACACTCAATTCCACGATTTCATTCAATTGAATTATCATTTTTCTTTAGATGAGTATGAAATCCCGCCCTTGAAGAATAAAGAACCTTTCGACATGTGTAAAATCTTCAAGTAATAAAAATTTAAGAACGAATTCAATAAATGCAATAAATGCAATACTGTAAAAATTTCAACTTAAAAATCTTATATTTCCAATGACTGTACAGTTTATCTCTCCCTTCAACTCAACTACAATTAAATTAAATCGGTTTAACATTTGCATAAAGCCCAGGACTCGCCGGTTTGCCCAGAGAAATTTTAGGCACAGTTGTAGGTGTCTCTCCCTCCTTGGCAATTCGATAAACTTTGATGCCGCCCAAGTTGTACTTAATCTCCATTTCCGGTGGTTTATCGACCTCCTGACCCTTCGCCTTCAGATTCCTGACCATAATTTCACACAGCAGAGGGGGCAACTCCATCGTCCTCGGTAGAATCACCTCGGGGCGATCGACCCAGTTGAGGTACTTGTGCTCCTCGTCCTTCGGTACCAATCGAAAGTCAGTTTTGTAGGTTGCATGATCTATTTGCTTTATTACATCTTTCTTCCCTCTGAATGTCGTTTCCGCAAGAGCCATGCATCGTCGGATTGTCTCTGTCTGCATGAGAAAATAGAATTGAAAATTATGATTATGGACAAAGGAGAAGAAACGAAGATTTTTGGACGTCACTGAGCAAATGCGTTAGGAATTTTCGTCTCATTTTTTTAGAAACGATTTTTTGAAAATTTCAAGTTTTTGCAATGATTTTTTTTTGTTCCAAATTGTCCTCAATATCTCAACGAGAAAACGTTTGTTTTGTAAAATCATTAATTACTCAAAAACCTAATTTGTTTTTAATCTGAAATTTTCACCAAAAATTGTCCATAAAATGCCAAGAGTTGGGCCGCCAGTTGAATGATGTTGGATATTTACGATTTTATTCAAATTGTTTTCACAAAATTCAATTCAGTAGTGAAGCCGTAAACCGAGTTAAGTCGATTTTGACTATTAGCCAGTTTTTGCTGAATATCTCGGAATCGAAGAGAGATAGGAAAATTTTCCTCACGACTTTTTTTATAACGCTCTATTGGCTCTACAAAAAAGGTCATGACAAAAATCTTTCTATCTCTTTTAGATTCCGAGATATTCGTCAAAAACTAGCCAATAGTAAAAAACGACTTAACCCCGTTTACCGCTTCGCTACTGAATTGATAAATTTGATAATTGAAGATGGTTGAATCTATCGTGTGGCCTGGACAAAACTGTAGACGATACTTGGATATCCTTCAATTTTTTCGTAAGTCTACTGAAATGAGAAAGGATAATTACCGCATATTTAGGAGACGTAAGCACTTCTGGAGGTAGTGCTCCAACTTTTATTATCTTTATGAATGACGGTTCAGGATACCGTTGGAACCGTTGCCTGACGACGATTCTACCTTTTCCATGATTCTTGAGGTTCCCAACGAGTTCCCAAAGACTTTTTCCAGAGAAGTCAGTGGTACGACCGATGAGTTTCACTGGCATTTCTCGAATATTTTATCGCTTATTTTCGGAATCAATGCACTGCAATAATCACTCCAACAGCAATAGTGAACCCAGCAGGTTACGGTTTTTTTACCACAGAGAATGCGCAGCGAATGGTCTTACAGGGCTTGAGGTCAGATTTCCCGAGTTCTACAGCAAAACATAAGCAAGCAGTTGAAAACGTATTCTTGCAATTAATCTGTCACCTTGAATTTGCAATTGCTAAAATATTCTGTTCTTGAATTTTTTCGTTAGTGGAATATTGCCAAATTCCATCGATATATTCCATCAATTACCGACGAAATCTGCCGATGAAAATAATTCCTAGGGTAGATCAAATTAAAACCGAAATATTTGTTTTACCGACGAATGGTGTATGCAGATGCTTTCAGGGGTCACAGGGTCACGCACTTCACAAGGCAACGCGCGCGTCCTCGACGTTTACATTGAAAACGCGACTTTAGAATCTTCTTTGTCGGTCTGCGCGTTGGCCAGTGCCCGCCCCAGCCACCTCAAACGCATCGATCACGTTCCACACTCAAAATACTCTCAAATCCGAACTTGAAAAACTTGACAATTATTCAAAAATGGAAGACGTCAAACTTGAAATTATAGATGAAGCCACCGCCGATTGTCTTTGCGGTCATTCCTACGACAGTGAACAGTTCATGATACAGTGTGATGTCTGTAAAAAGTGGTATCACGGAGTGTAAGTTTACTTGGACAAACCCTTATTACTTCATCTACATTTAAACAAATAATGCAGTTTTTCAATTTGAATACCAGACGTTTCAGGGCAATAGTTGCCCTGAAATCCTCTGTTTTCACAACAATGTGAACTCGTAAAATCGGGAAATCATGCGAAAAATTGCACGGATTTTTTAGACGCTCTAATGTTTTTGTTGTGGGTAACATAACCTAGGTGCGCTGCGCTTAACTTTTGGGATTTATTGAGATATGATTCCTGTTTAATTGCAGGTGTGTGTCCGTTAAGGAATACATGTCGACAGATCTGGATAAATATCACTGTCCACGCTGTGATGTTACTCATGGGCCTTCCCATTGTAAGCATATTTCAGTGTAACATAATGTGTCGAATATTTTTGTTGTGATTTTTTTACGTGAGACCCTGAAATTCAAATAAAGTTTTTGAATTTTTTTATTTTCACCGATTACGATTAATTAAAACAATACTTCTGTGGAGTAACTTTTTTTTATATTGATTACAAATTTCAAAATTATTTGTAATTTTATGATTTTATCAGTCAATTTTATTCTCTAATTACGAACGATTTTATTGTTTTACTAGACTGTGAAATATTTTTTTACAATTTGAACTAAAAGACTCTTTTCGAACATTTTTCCTGAATAAAAATATTTTCCTGACTTGCTCAATTTTTGAGGATTTTCATTGTCATATATACTGACTTTTCACTGACAAAATAAATATGAATTTCATGTCAACCATTCGTTGTTGAAAATTGAATGCCTTTTACTCAAAATTTCACCTGTCATTTTTATTATATATAGAAAATCTTCGAATTTAAGGGAGATAGCGAAATATTGTTCATGCCCTTTTTTGCGGAGCGGCTCAAATTCTACAAAAAAGGTTATAACCAAGAGTCCCCAATCTGCCTCAGCTTCCGAGCAATTGCCTAAAAACTGACCAATACCCACAATCGCTGAACTCCCCATTCCAGCAAAAACAAGAATGAACTGGCATCGCCACGAGTACTCGGAGCCGGACGCCGACGCGAAACCAGTGCAAACAGGCACCCCAGTGTTCATCCGCGAGCTCAAGTCCCGGCATTTCCCAAAAGCCGACGAGATAGTAAAGAACGTCAGAGGCCAGCAACTCACCCTGCAGTACCTCGAGGCAAACGGTTTCGAGACCCCCTTCATAATAGACGGAAAGGACGGTCTCGACATGACAGTTCCCCCTCCCAACTTCAGTGTCTACGACGTCGCGAGCTACGTAGGGGGTGACCGAGAGATGGACGTCATCGACGTGACCCACCAGAACAACATCCGCATGAAATTACGTGACTTCGTCGAGTACTACAACGACCCAGGTAGAACGAGAGTCTTCAACGTCATCAGTCTGGAGTTTACAGACACTCCACTGTCGCAGATGGTGGAGGCCCCTTACATTGCTCGTAAATTGGACTGGGTGAATTCGGTCTGGCCTCGAGAGATGGCAGACGACAACGAGTTCAAACGTCCTGAGGTCCAGAAGTACTGTCTCATGGGGGTCAAGGACAGCTACACAGACTTCCACATAGACTTCGGTGGCACCTCAGTGTGGTACCACGTGCTGAGGGGTGAGAAAGTATTTTACCTAATAAAACCCACCCCAGCCAATATCCAGTTGTATCAGCAGTGGATGAGCAGTTCGAGCCAGAGCGAAACGTTCTTCGGGGACCAGGCTGACGCCTGCTACAAGTGTGTCCTGAAGGAGGGCCAGACTATGATGATACCCACCGGCTGGATTCATGCCGTCCTCACGCCGGTCGACTCCCTCGTCTTCGGTGGGAATTTCGTTCACAGCTTAAACATTCCCATGCAGATACAGATTTACGAGCTCGAGAGGAAGATGAAGACACCTGCTAAGTACCAGTATCCAGGCTTCGAAACCATCAACTGGCTGGCGGCAAGGAAACTCCTGAAGGAATTGAAGGATCTCAATCACGATGGGAAAAAGTGCCCAGAGTACTTTCTCCAGGGGGTGAAGGCACTCCTGGCTATTTTGAAGCAGTGGAATACTGATAAGGATTATAATACTGTGAGTAGAAGTCAAATCCCTCGGATTATCAACAGCCAGAAATTGTTGAAAGAGCTTAGCAAGGAGATTCGCCATGCCGAGAGGTATTTAATGACTCTGAATCCACCCAAACCAGAGCGTGAGAGCAAGAGGAAAAAACGAAAACCTGTGAATAAGGATTTTGTGGATTTTGAAGCCGCTGAGAAGCTCACGGAAAACGCATTTAAAGCTAAGATTGGAAAAGTTGAGAGGGTTGATCCAGAGATCGAGCCTTTGAACTCGCCCATTAAAACCTGCATCAAATTAACACTTCCTAAAAACATCATCAATTTACACAGCAGTGGAAAGACAGATCTCAAAAGTTTGGACAAGAGAAAACACGAGGGCATCAGTCTATTATCGAAACCTGGGAAGCAGAGCCCCACTGTCATAAGGTTCAAACTGGGGGACAATGAGGTTGTTAGAAGTACTAATGAGAAGGTCAATGTCTACGGAAATTTCGCGATTGATTCGTCGATCGAAACGAGGAAGGAGTTCACGTGGAAGCAGACGTCGATCTACGATTTTCATGATGGCAGCAATGAGAGCGATCATGGAGGGGGTTTCACCATCGATGAGGCGCCGAAGAAGAAGAAATCTTCGAAATCTGGGGGGAATAAGAAGAGTAAGAAGGTGGAGCAGATGCAGGTGGTGGATGATGCACCGAAGAATGGGATTGAGGAGTTGCTGAAGGCTTCTGCCTATGCACTTCCTTCCTCTGGGTCGAGGATTGAAACTGGGTGTGTTTAATTAATTCATTAATTTATTTATTTGTTCATTGTTGTATACAGACCCACAGACTTTGGAATTTTTCTCGAATGCTTAAAACTTATTTAATTGGTGATGAAATTAAATAATTTTTTTTAATGCTGCCTCTTACACATAATGAATAAAATTTCTGGGAATCTGGGCCTATTATTTAGAGATATCATGTTAAAACGCATTAAGAGATCCGTTAAATCCAAATGGAATAATTGGAGATGGCAGATAATTGTCGAACGAATAAATTAGTGAATTGATTAATTTTGAATTTTTTAGGATTCCCACGATGCCGACGCAGACGCAGATTGGGTAAGTATGCCCCTCGAAATGCTACTGATTAATCTGATTTTTATTCCCTACAGTTGATTGATTAGTCTCTTCATTTGATCAATCGATGTCTTAGTATTTATAAATTGAAAACGTACAGTTCTGGCAGGGCATCACCATCGACGCGTGAGGCCATTGCGGGAATGCTGTCGTTCAGCGAGCAGTGTTACTCGACTCAGACTGGTACCTCGAAAAAGTCGAGTGCTAAGCCTCGAACAGTTGAGTATCACGAGGATGAGGACGACCAGTCGATCGAGAATATTGATAAGGTCCATCAAGACGACGATTTCAGTGAGTCACAGTGTCATGATTTTGGCATGACATGAATTTTTCATTAATTGCATTTTCAATTCTCATTGATTCATTGACCGGTTTGTGCTGCAGTTTATCCAGCTTTAGATGCCTCTGACGACGAGGAATACATATTCAAGCCTCGGGGGAAACGACGTGTTGACGAGGCTTGGAATCCGAAAGCACGTGTTGGTCCTCTTTTACCTAAGACTAATCGACCTGCTCGAGAGGGAGCCAAGAAGACTTCAGTGGAAAAGGGATTGGAAGCTGCTGCTGCTAAAAGAGCTAAACTTGCTGTAATTTTTCTTCTCATAAACTGGGGTTTTGCAATTTTTTATTGCTAAAGATGAGAATTGCATGAAAAATATTGGACAAATATTTTTCTGTTTTAAACCTTTTGCATTATGATGACATAATCTCCAATAATTTTCTTCCAATTTACATATTTCATCGTTCGAGGCAATAGAAGAAACGCATGCATGCATGGAAATAATTAATCAATTCATTCTTTGATCTGAAAAATGAATGGAATTTTTTTTTGTAGACAACGTCGAAGCGCATTTCAAAAAAGCAGAAGAAGGAAATGAAAGCATCTGCCAAGGCGGTAGTTAAACCAACAGGTTCAGTGCAGTCAACGACTATCAGTGAAATACCACCGTCATCTGTAATTAGTTACAGCTCTATTCTAACCAGTCCCAACAGACTGAAGGACGTGAAGGCGAAACTAGCAGCGCCTGTTCCCATTGGTAATCTCGTGCCCATCCCCCCATTCAATTGATTTCAATTAATCAGACGATATTGACGTCATGTGCCTCGTTATTTGCAGAACGCAAACCGAGGAAGGGCATGAAAACAGCCAAGCAGCGCCTGGGAAAAATTCTAAAACTTCACAAAATGATGCACTGAGTCACGGAATCATCCATCCATCTTCATGTACATTGTACATTACTGTAAATACTGTACACACTGATGAGTTTTTACGATTTTTTTTTCATACAGCAGTGAATAGAAAACGTTCAGGCCTATTTCGAATGAGATTCGATGGTGTGGACGCCCAGTGTTTATTATTATTTTGATTTTATTTATGCGGACTCTGTTTCTCGGTTTTTTTACAATCGTTTGACGAACTATTGTCACGTTGACCATTCAGTATTAATGAGAACATCTTTAGTTTTATTTTAGTGATTTATAGGTATGAATGTATCATGTGTATCACAGCTTATTGTCCAATTTTATTATTAAATGTTTTTTACTGATCATTTTTGTCCATTTTTCATTGTTAAGTGATTCCCCTGAGTAATCCTGAATAAAGTTTTGCATTGAAAATTTCAAAATGTTATGAAATGTTTTGTTATATCAAGCAAATATTTGACATTTTCTTAGGCATGCGTCGTGAGGAGAAACCCATGCCTACCGAACTTGAAGATTGATGAGAACAACTGCTTATTGTCCAATTTTTGTTACTGATCTTTTTTGTTCATTGTCAATAGCCAATTCTCCCGAATAATCCTAAATGAAGTTTTCCATTGAAAATTCCAAAATATAAAGAAATTTTTTGTTTTGTCAAAAAAAAACATTCGAGAAATTGTTCGTCTGGACATGCGTCATGAGGAGCAAAATCCCACCAACATATAAATGATCATAACGAAGTTGAATGCAAATGAGACAGTCCGAAAATCACACACTCGGGCAGTTGTACGCAAATGAGTGATGCCATCTAGCAGATTGGCAACTATAGATTTCTGTTGGACGAGTGGTTGTGTGGGTGCTACTGAATACGTCAGTCTCACATGCACACAGCAAGTGAAAGCATGCAGCAGCGAGTTGAAAAGTGCCAGTGAACAAAGTTGTTTGAGGTGAGGATCACTGGTTAATAATTCGAATAAGGAATTTATCTCTTCGAACACTCTGTCTCAGAGAATGTGATTTCATCTCTCGAGTCTCATTCCAGGAACTGTAGAGTGTAATAATTGTTATGGGGAATGCGTGGTGCTCAATGAAAACGTGAGTCCTTCGAGGCATTCAGTGACATTGTTCCAATTGTGCTTGGATTCCTCAAATTCCTTGGACTCCGTGATAATTTATTAATTTGTGATTCAGTATGAGTGATGAGGATGTGGATTTTTATCGAGCTTTCGACATCCTGGGGATGGATGTTTGGAAATTAGTTTTTTAACTGCGATATGCTGATTGCTAGGAGTGCACAGGGTGCTGCTGCAGCAAACCCTGTTAATAATCGTGGTCTGTGCTGCATATCTCCTTCCAATTTACAGAGCATTAAGCCAACTGTTACGAGACATGGTAATTACTATCACTGTTTCAAAGAGACTGGTATACGTGGAAAATACAGAGAGAAAATTTTACGATATCGGATCCTTGGAAATCGGTGAGTACGTGTGTGAATTGAAATAATTACGAGGGAGGGGGGTAGAATGGGCCGCATTCAATCGTCAATAACTCGACATTGGCAGAGTGAAATTCCCCAATTTTTGGCTCAAATCGAAGATATTTTTTCGGGCTCCAAAATGAGCCCCAATTCATCGAAATTGCATCATTTGGTCAGGAGATACGGCCCACTTTACCTCGCCTGCTCCTTTGTTCGGAAATCAGGGCTAGCGACATCTTCAATCAACATTCCTGTGCTTTTTTTTTCTAATTCAAAATATCACGAGCGCAACGAAAATCTGGTTATCATAATATCATAGCTATCGGATCGCTATTGATCACCAGATATCTAATCACGTTCTTCGTCTAATGAAAATTAATTCCCATCATGTAACTGGTGAATGATAGATCGTAAAAATCGGTTGCGCTATTTATATTGTCGGGTGTTTTCGTCGGAAAATCCGCCCTTCTCCCCGCACAATTTTGCCACTCTGATTGGATTATTTTTACCCATTGGCACGAACTCCGAGACAACACGTGAGGCATTTTATCCCGAGGAAGTGTAATTTCATCCGAGGAATTTAGTCCGCATACAGGTGGCATGATTCACCTGCTGGAACGTGTTCATCTGCACGCTAGCAATCAGTGACGTCCGCGGTCGATAAAATTTCGGGAGAAATCGGTAAATTGTTGAAGGTCATTGGAATGTTGAGCCAGTTTTGGCTGGACCGAAAATACAGTGCGTTACAGTTTTCTATTGGCAAAACCCCGAGGCTCGAGTGCCTTGTGAAGGCGGCCAGTTGTACTTTGATTATTATTATTGCCTCGGTTTAGTATACTACCCCACATAACGTACTCCCTTCGGTCAGTTGTTGAACGATCGTGGTTGAGTGCACCACACCAGTGTTATCGACCTCTAGTTCCTGTGATTTGCTACCGTCAATTGCCCATTACTCATTTTTTACTCAGTGACAGGTGATAATTCAAGGCTTTATCGGGCATTACTGTGAAACAGTGGATTAATTCGCAACTGTTTTTTTATCAGTGGAAAATATTTTTTAAATAATAATTAAAAAAGTCTGTGCTGTTTGCGTGCCATCAATTAAGACAATTGACATTATAAATTAATGTCAAGTGTTTTATGCTCAGTGGATATATGCCATCGAGGCTGAATCAACTAGGATAGATCGGGGGAAGGTAAATAGAATAATTGAAAAAATATTCATTCATTGAGTTTGTTAATTATTTTTGCATTGTGAATAACTGGAAAGTCACTGGAATTGGTTGTTCCTAGAGGAAGTGCCGCATTGACCCTCCGACTCCCCCAATTTCTGACTCAATACCGGTGAAACGATAAAATAATAAATTAGACACCCTTCACTCTCAATTGGACAATTACAGCTAATAATTGGGGGATAAGTGGGTTGCCACGTGTGCCATAATTTCCGGTTGTGTGTGCGTATGATTTTTCATACTCGAAATTCTTCATGAAATTTGCGCTCGGTGATGCATTGCGCCTGTAATTGTTGCAATTGAATTCTGTACGGCCGCATGAACCGAAGAAAACAACTTTATCGTTGACACACAATATTCATTGCTAGATGGACTACCGTCGGTAGAGCAGTTTCTCTCGTCTCTCGTCCGGTCTATTACGTTTTCTAACGATTCTGATGAAATTATGTTGAAAAATTGCGCGATAATCTTTCTACCCCGGCCTACACCAATTATCCTTTCTAACGAGCAACCACAGCTTCAGATGAAAATTGAATAACTGTTTTTCCGGGTGGAGATGGCATTCAGGGACAAGCGAAGCTGGCGAATTTTTCGAAACTGTTGCATAAATGAAGCTAAAAGCAATATTCGACAGCAGAAAATTGAATCATTTCATTTAATTCAAATCTTAATTTGTATTTATTTAATATATATTTCATTAATACAAATCAAAACATTTAACTGCGGGCAATAACAATTACGAATCAGTTTTTTAAAATTCAACTCCTACACAGCTAATTTCGTAATGTTCTTAACAAAAAATTGCACCATTCATGTAAAATGGTCAAAAATGTTTCTAAAAGAATCGGGAATAAATTTTAAATATTTTAAGGATTATTTTTCTACCTATTTTACATGAGTGGCACAAATTTTTGAATCAAACAAAACGAAATTAGCTTTCCGGAGCAAACGAACAATAAACAATTGATTTTTTTGCACTAATTAAATGCACGAGAAATCTCACGGCAACACCCCACGACTTTTAAAGCTCATACTAGTCTCCCCTCAAGGGTAGTGACATGAAAATATTTCTCTACCCCTAGATTTACCCAAATCAAATGCCCCATTCGAGAATCTTTCGCTTGATTCAGCTTCAAGCATAACCGTCCATCATTGCTCAATCATTAAACATAAATCGAACTCCCACATGAGCTATTTTTCCACTCCACGAAGGTTTTTCAACTATTGTCACGGAACATTCACTCAGCCTCATTAGCATCGATAAGAAAAAAAGTAATTAGCAATCCATTATCCCCCGTCTTATCAGAAATTACAATAATTGATGTGCGATATGCATACGACAATCGATGGAGAATGTAAAAATACATCCTTGTACATACGTGATTGGCCATGAAAAGGTCCCCCAGTTCTACAATTGTTTATTAAAAGAAGTCGTGTGAGTCTTTCTGTGGACGTTGATAGATCGTTTTCCGGTTTAGCTGCGCTGACAAAGCCCTGACGATGAAAATTTATGGAACTCATATTGTAACGTGTGAACGATTACGCTGACGTTTATCTATTTACACGAAATGAGATAAAAAAACAAAGGTACGATGAGCATAAACGTGCGATTCTGTCGTCTAAGGTAGTAAATAGAGCACGGAATCGTGGGTAATGAAGTGGCATGCAGGCTGCCTACGGAACAACTGTAATGTTTGTATGATGGTGACAATGTGTCATGTATCAAATATGATTTGAAGATGCGTAACACCGACGGGTGTCGTCTATTTGCCATGATTATTATTCCTCCCTATGATTGCGACCTATTTCCGGCTAAAAATAGCAAATGGAATGATTGGCTTTTAAAATGCTCTTGACAACGACGCGTCGTATTATTTGGACGTTATCTCTTTTAAACACATATATAAATAGATGACCATTGTCCGCGAATGATACAAGGTACTGTATCATCCTCATTTCTCTCAGAAGCTGTCGTTCTCGATGATTTAATTGCATTCTTTTCCTCTCGTTGACTGATACCGCGGCAGATTGATCGAAATATCATCGGCGGATGAATGTTTGAGAGACCGGTTTGACCGGTTGATTAGCAATTCTACTCGAATGTTACACCGGACGATGCGTATCACTAGACAATCAAGTGGCCACGCGGCACAAGAGGGAAAGTTTATCGGCCAATGGGAGCTGTCGAACAGGAGGGCTCGGCTCATTCGAGACTGGCGCTCTATTCCCACTGATAATTTCAATCTCGTGCCGTTACGCGTTAGGCGTCACGCGAAACTATGTACACGTTATCGGGAGAATGCTTTCGAACGGGCGCGAGATAATGAGACAACCGGCGCGAGGAGGCTTGGTCCTTGGAGGTGTGTAATGCTCTACATTTGAACAATTATCAATGACGAAAAGGAGGTGGAAGAAAAAAAAAACCACTCCACCTGGGGGAGAATTAAAAATGACAAATTCATTTTCAACATTACTTGGACACCTGCTCGCTCTATTGTTCCTCAAGTATCATTATTACCGCACGTTTTGTCTTTATTGTTTTGTCAAATGTTCATTTATTTTTTCTTCGGAAAATACCATTAGTCCATTAGCTTTTAATGAATTCTCCCACCATTTGCCCCTCCCCCACCCCCCTCCAAACTCTGCTCTCACTGTATTTTCCTTCCTTCTTCATTATCTCATTCCCCAGCCCCCCTCCCGCATTGAATGTACACACTTGTAACAAGATACTCTTGTCTTTCTATCCTGTACCCGTGTGGCATAACCGATTGCCCCGAGAGCTTGACTACAATCATAGGCGATGATTCCGTCTCACTCGTCGCAAATAAAAGTTGTGACTTGTCTGCGTCAGTCGCAAGTCAGCGCTGGCCACGATAAGGAGGTAAACTGCGGTAGTACACACTGTCTACTTGGCTTACAGCAGTCAAGTCATTCCTCATTACTGATACGGCCACGATAATTGCCGGCAGGTATTACACCGATCTGGTAAAAGCAAAAACCACGTTTTTCGTTTTATTTTTATTATTATTTTTTTCCATCCATTTGTTATATTCTGTTGACCTTTGAGCAGGTAAACTATACGACGTGTATTTGTGCTATTTTCAAATGATCATTGCGTCAAGAGTCATTCAGTGCTACGAATAGAACGACCGTTTCGCTAACGTCGACCGTGTCTCCGTGAATTTTTCTATTTTTCATCACCGATATTCATCAGGTGAATTCAATGCAAGGGGTGGAGTTGTAATGTAAAATATTCTTTGGCCACTGTTGCAGGGAGAATGCGGCACTGCTGGAGCTGAGACCAGCGCGCAGAGTGCGCAAATCAACGGGAATTCGTTATAGTCCCATTACAAGAAAGTAAGGTGCTCAGTTCACCGGCATTCGAAAAGAAATCATCAATTCTCACACAATTATCCTCTTTACCCTGTGCAATCCTCTGATCCTTGGTGTATCAACAAGTATTCAGACGCGCAGGCATCCCCAAAAACTCACGCTCTCTCTTCCTCTCCATTTCTCTTTGAATTTTGTTTTTTATAAAAACACTTTGCCCTATCTACCTCTGTGGGAGCCATATGTTTAGCGTTGATATTGTTGAAGCGATAAGACGTAGCAATTTAACGAATAATTGAAGGAGTTTAACTAACGATAAAGCACAAACTGAACAGATAATATATAAAGAATATATTGTATTAATGTACAAGGAGAGTGTGAGGATGTATGAAAACAATATAGAGATGGTTGAGATGCCGAGGAGAACGAGTAGGCGATATGAATTATTAGTGAGAGCGTTTTGGCTGGCTATTGTGCTGGTGGAGTCGGTGACATTAGCTAATTCAACCAGAGTCCATGAGGATGTCTCATCATCGAGGACGCACGAACGACCACCACCCTGTCCTAGGTGAGTCCTTATTCATCCACACTGATAAATAATATGGGAGTATTTAGTTACGTTAATGGGGCTTAACTATCCATTCTTCACCATTCGTTGACTAACGACACGACGATTACTGGCGCGGTTGTGCACCTGACTTCGTGATAGCAAAAAAAATATATCATTTCTTTCAACAATTGCCCGATGTTTCGGATGAATGCACGCAATCATCTTCAGGTGCTCATTTACTTGAAATAATAAAGTTTGCGACACAGAGGACAATAAATACATAAAACTATTAATGAAAGGTGCTGGTAATTGGGAAGCCTCATTAACAACAACTAAAGTCTTCTATCAGTGCTTTAGGAGTAATAATGATACGACAATAAATTCCAGTATTAGATTTTAAGCGGTCGAAATGAACTGAAGAAAAGAAAGACACATTAGCTTATCTTATCAACTTTGACTTCTCTCATTTAAAAAATATGCTTTGGAATTTATTTGGTGGGTGTGTGTGACGCGTGGCGGTCTTGGCATCCACGATGACGTAGTAGATTTGTCTCACGTGTTTCCGCGTCGAACAAAAGCAATGAACCAATCATCGAAAGAATATAACGCGGGTGTGTCACGAGAATCGCTCCAAGGCTGGCCCCACCGACTTTAATTATCTTTGTTTTTCTAGTTAATCGTTTTTTTTTTGGGCCAAGTCAACGAACGTCTGATAACTCAGCATTGAGCCACAAATATATTGCACAATTTGGGATTGTTTCGATTGATTGTCGAGTCCAAGGGCAGAATTACGTGATTTTTAATGGGATTTTCGAGCGATTCTGGGATTGTATGGATTTTTTTAAATCAATTCTCTAGGTGTTGGTTTTCATTTTTACATATTTTTTTTTCTTTTACCTACGCGCCTCAATGACTACCGGCCGTCGTTTCATCAAGGCCGTCACTCGCGCCAGTTTCACACAGTTTCCGCCGTAATTTTCCGTACCTTGTGTGCTGGGTAATTGCACTTAAATCAATATATATACGGGAATTGTAATTATTAGAGACAATCACGGCGATGAGCACTCGCTGGATTTTGGAGAGAAAGAGAGAGGAGAAGAGAGTGTACTTCATTCTTACTCAGTATTTTTTTTCTTCATGTACATTTCTGCATAATTGGAATCTAAACTTAATTAAGTAGTAAAATATGAGTTAGTCAGTTGTTGAAAGTATGGGGAGGCATCAGTAAAATAAATTGGCTTGCAGTGAGATTTATTGCCAAGGCCCGCTACTGCATACGGTGCAGATGGCCAATCTCTACCCCGACTCTAAGACATTTGTGGACATGAAAATGAAGAAATCAGCGGCGGAAACACTGACTGCATTCCACAGAATGATGAACAGTACTAATCAGTCACCGAGCAAGGGGAATATTCAGCATTTTATTGATAATAATTTTGATCCACCTGGGTCTGAGTTTGAGACTTGGATACCGGGTGATTGGCGAGCTGAGCCAAAATTTCTGGCTAGAGTCAAGGACGGAGAGTTGAGAAAATTTGCATCAGACTTGAATGACATATGGAAATTGCTGGGTAGAAAAATGACTGATGATGTCAGAGTTAATGAGCATCTTTACTCAATAATATATGTACCACATCCAGTAATAGTGCCTGGCGGTAGATTTCGAGAATTTTATTACTGGGATTCTTACTGGATTATGAAGGGACTATTGCTCTCTGAGATGTTCACGACGGTCAGGGGTATGTTGAGTAACTTTGTTTCAATTGTCGACAAAATTGGCCTCATACCTAATGGCGGGAGAATATATTACGAAATGAGATCTCAGCCACCGATGTTGATACCCATGGTTAAGGAATATCTCGATGTGACGAAGGATTACGATTGGCTGAGGGATAATCTCTGGCTGTTGGAGAAAGAATTTGACTTTTGGATGACTAATCGAACGGTCGAGGTGGAGAAAGACGGGAGGAATTATACACTGGCGAGATTTTACGAGGAATCCAGCGGCCCGAGACCGGAATCGTACAGGTAGATTATCTGGCGTTACAATTGCCACCACTTTGTCATACGCAAATTGGTAATGGAGGAATTTATATGTTCATGCAGGGAGGATTACTCCAACAGTCTGCTGTTCCGAACGAGCGAGGACAGGGAGAATTATTACAGGGAGCTCAAAACCGCTGCTGAGTCTGGATGGGATTTTTCTAGTCGCTGGTTCATTGTCGATGGAACTAATAAAGGTATGTTATTGGGCATCAAAATATCCAATTTTCTTTCAATGAATTTTATCTTCCCAGATTGGACAGCAATTTTTATGCATTTTAGGCAATTTATCGAATATTAAAGCGAGGTACATAGTTCCAGTGGAGCTCAATGCCATATTGTACTATAACGCCGTTCTCCTAGCTGAATTCAACGATAAAATGGGTAATGCGAGTAAAGCAACAATCTATAGGCACATTGCTGAAGAATGGAAAACAGCAGTTAACGCTGTACTCTGGCACAAGGAGGTTGGCGTGTGGCTTGACTATGATCTCCTCAATGACATCAAACGTGATTATTTCTATCCAACGAATGTTGTTCCCTTATGGACTAACTGTTACGATGTAACTCGGAAGGAGGATTACGTGGCTAAGGTGTTGAAGTATCTCGAGAAAAATCAGATTATGATCAATCTCGGGGGTATACCAGCCACTCTGGAGCATTCTGGTGAGCAGTGGGATTATCCAAATGCCTGGCCACCTTTGCAGTATTTTGTTATCGAGTCGTTGGACAAGACTGGGGACGCTTGGGCCCAGAGGCTAGCCTATGAAATGAGCGAGAGGTGGGTCAGGAGCAACTTTAAGGCGTTCAATGCGACCAACAGCATGTTTGAGAAGGTAATGATGGGGTCTTAAAGGAACTAGAATTACTTTGCTCATTCAATTGGACGATACTAGCAATTAACTAATTTTTTTTCTTCTCTCTTTCATTCCACGATCAATACTTTAGATATGGGCAATTCCTCGGATTTTTTTATTCCCTGGGGCATTCCCAAAATGTATAAATTTCCGAAAAACAAGCATTTATCTTCGGTTCAATCTCTCTAAATTTTTTTTTTCAATCATTTTTTTTATTGAAGTCATCGTCTTGATGTACTTTTCGATGAATTCATACAGAAACAACTTCAATTGACAGTTGACAATTCATAATTCATCAGTTAATTCCCCATGAAATCTCCCATGTAAAATGCAAGCTTGTTGCGACGAATTCCGTTGAAAATAATAAAAGTATGATTGGAGTTTGGTAGTTAATGGGCACTTAATGAATATTTTTTATCAGTATGATGCTACTGTGTCTGGGGGTGGAGGTGGCGGTGGAGAGTACGAAGTTCAACTGGGCTTTGGCTGGTCCAACGGCTTGGTCATGCACTTAATCAATAAATATGGAGATCGTCTAGCTGCTGAGGATCGTTTTCTGCCAAATCAAATTGTTGAAGAGTCAATTCGACAGTCTTCGACGGGCACCTCTGCCACCGTATCGACAGCTGGACAAATGATGACGGGTCTCATTGCACTGATTATATCGGTCGCTGCAGGATACATTGGGTGAGGTAAGACACGAAAATAGGCTTTTATTCCCAGCTCATGCTGGTAATCACGATTATTACCGCAATAATGGCAATTACACGATTTTTTTAACATCTGTTTCAGATATTTGGATGACTTTCTCATACACGGTTCTAAAGTCTGAGCGAGATTCTTTGTGGTATAGATTATTACCCATTGGTGGCCATGATATAGCCATCAACGTCGACGAACACCAACACATACTACACCTACTCTTGCAATTATTCCCAAATTCCCACAATACGAATGAACCAGAACAATTCCATTTCGATTAACTCTTTGAATTTAGTTTGATTGCATGATTTTCCAATCGCCTGTCATTCCAAGTGTATATACTGTATAGAGAAAAAGAAAGAAACCTGAAATATTCCTGCATCTCATCCATTGCCCATTGAAAAACAGTAGTTTTTATCTAGTCAGCGCTGTCATTGACCCGAATTTTACAAGTCAGGTTATTTGATTTTTTTTCGTCTGCCTTGTCGAATAGCTCGTCGATATTGTCTCCCTCCCCCCAGAAAGATTTTCCCGTCTTAGGCTAATAACCAGCTTGTTATTTCATGTGCTAATTTATTACTATTGTATGAGAGGTTGTTGGAATAATTGTTATTGTTACTCCTTACCTAGATTTTATTTTATTTTACTGAGAATTTAGTTATAACTCAAGTATTAACGGACCAATGTGAAAGACATTTCGGACCTTAAGGATTTAATGAAATTAATCAACTATGATGAAACAAAGCATGCTATTAATTATTTATCCTGGTTTTCCCGTACCCTCAGAAAATTGGAAAATATAATGAAGATGATGATAATAAATGAATCCTTACACAATCCTGTCTACTCCAATTGATATCCCAATCGATTTATCACCTGGGCTGTTGATTTCCCACAATCTCCTACTATGGCAATGAAAAAATAATCATCGGGTATTAATTCTTTACGAGCCTCTTACACAATTATTGACACGATATCCCGTCCCGTTGGCACTGCTGAAGTAAGCCGGTGGATTTAATGGCATTTGAAGCGAGCAATAATGATAATGCAAATGGGATTAAGCATTAGGTGTTATCATCATTGTGACAATGGCTACGTGTCGTTGATCGCGTTCTGCTGGTACCTATAGGCCATGGTATTAAGATGACCTTGTTCAATTTGGTGAGGGGGGGGGAGGGGGACGTCGTCAAGGTCTGTTCAATTATCCAACAAGTATTTTCGCTCTGACATCTTTCGTATCGTAATCTCAATAATCTCTCGGATTATGTGTGGTTCATCTCTTTATTGACGCCGACAATATCTTTATCATGATTTNGGGGGGGGGGGGGGGGAGGGGGACATCGTCAAGGTCTGTTCAATTATCCAACAAGTATTTTCGCTCTGACATCTTTCGTATCGTAATCTCAATAATCTCTCGGATTATGTGTGGTTCATCTCTTTATTGACGCCGACAATATCTTTATCATGATTTACAGGTGGGTCATGTATAAGAGGCGCCACTACTACGTACCAGGTCCGTCCACAATGCCCAATCTAAAGCGAAAAACTGTTGGTGGCGGTGGTGGTGATAACTTCTACCGGAAACACATTGCCTACACGGAACTCAAGGACATGAACAACGATTGACGATTGACATGTGGGTAATTTAAGTTAGAAAAATTTCATTATGATAATAATTACCGGGGGGGGGGCATTCGATTGAGTGACGATGACCATGCATCAGGGATATTTTTTTTCATTTTCTACCCATCCCACTGAATACCGAGTGTTCGATCCTACTCTCTTCATTGAATAACAGAAAACGACGTTATAGTTGTACTTCTATTCTTCATTATTGGGAAACGACACTGATAATCTAAGAGGATAGCCACCTTAATGTGAATACGAATGTGTCACATTGTGACATAAAGTTGATAAGAGCAGCGTACAAATTATACTTGATAAGAAGCTGCAAGAGTTATCGAAATTTTTCCTCTCTCGAACGGTAAATAAACTGAGATTTAATGTGCACTAGAGCGGATTCAGTCGTAGGATTGAAAAAAAAATATATATATGCAATTTTTGAAAAACAGTGTTATATTACGCTTGTACAGAGATTATCTGAGGATCATGATAAGATAGGCGGAGATTTCCGTTTATTGTTTTTCGTTTGATAATGCGAAGGAACTTTGTGATATTCACGGATAATTAATTAATCGATTTTTCTTCGAGATGCATCGATCCACTGTGTTTTATGCATCAACGGCCATTTACATAGTACATTGTATAGTATGATTTCAACAATTGTAGAGAAAAGCAAGGAAGAATGTTATGTTATTTAGATGAATTTTTAATTGGGCAGAAGATTGTTTAGTTCTTTTGCCGTTAGCAAATGTATAAAGAGATCTTTTATGTGTCATATTGTATAATGTATAAATATTGCAGACAATTAGCTGAAACCGAAGCCGTTAAACCTCTCAGCGGAAATAAATGAGCATGTATGACAGATATATGTGCCTACTCTATTTTGAATGTTTTTTTTTTGGATATCTCTTGCATATGTTTGTATTAAAATTGACAAAGAGGAAATACGTGGTAAGGTAGACAATTACGACTCGGCGATCAGGTGCTGAATGAGTAAAATAAATATTTTAATCTTGAATAATAGTTTTATTATTCCCTCCTTCATACTCCATTACTTCCGATATTTATAAAACACCAAATTCATATATAAACATTAAGTCGCTTCTAATAATCGGGGTAAATATTGTCCTTGTTGTTCCTTCAACTTGACGATTCTCTACTCATTTAAAAAGTTCAATGAAACAAGTAGAAACTCTGAGTATTCAAATTTTTCCATCATTCGAAAATAACTAATTATCTTTTAATTCTATGTATCTTCCAAGGCATTGAAAAAGGCATTTTCAATTTAGGAATCCAGAGGAACACTTAAACTTCAATATCGAAAAATACACATTATATACAATAGAAGCGTTAAGGAAAAAAACGGGGTCAGTAATATAAATGATGATAAATTGCTAAATGGTCAACAAGAGGTAAGAAAAAAAAACAAAAACCTTATGTGTCAGATAAAAAAAATTAAGAGTGCTGTAATAATACTAGAAATAAAGTGTTGATTTATGAGCAATTTACTGTATATGACCAACAATAACTTTTTTGTGATCTTTTTGATTCATCTGGGCACTCAAAACGTGACATTTACCGCTTTTATTACAATCAGGAAGACTATAACCGATCATCATTAGGGGAGTGAAGGATACGGACACTTTTGACATTCATTATTTTCAACTGTCAATCACTAGTTGAATGGTCGAGAAAAAATATTTTTTAGGCATCAATTGATGAATTTATTTCCGAGTTATGAACAGCTGGAAAAAATTTCAAAGTGTCAATTTCCCTCATTTTCCCCCATATGAACAGAAGATGTAAAAACGTGATTAGTAAAAATAAAAAAAAACCCTCAACTCAGTACTATATCTACAATAATACTTTAAATAATGAAGTCGACTTAGATTCTAGAATAAATATTCTATCACAAAACAAGGCTGTTGTCACTATTGTGTAGGTTCCTCAATTCGGCAATTAGGCCATCCCGCAGTAATATAGTACGCCTTATTATAACATTGCTCTATATACATGTACATTATACACGACATTTCAAAACCTTTTTGTCCCCCTCTGACACATCACCAAGCTGTGCAGAAAATTCATGAATACGTATATCTAATTTTTTTCATAACATTAAACCTAATACTGAGCGATCGATGATGCGGCAAGGCCACTGATCAATTATTCGATTGATTATCAGTAAAGATGCTATCATGTACACGTTCAATATTTTGTAAAGAATCTCCACTGACGATTAATCTATTAATACTATTATTCTTTTTTTTAGTCTCTTCTGGATTTACCCGCATCTTGTCAATTCGCTCTAAGGCATATCCTCACTGTCTGTTTCATTATTTCGTTGATGATTTGTGTATCTCAGGAGTGGATCTTCACCAGTTACTGCGGGCTCATCTTCAGTATTTACGATGCATGGACCCATTTCTTCTGTAATATATTTCAAAAATTAATATAATTCCATTCCACTCTATTCCACAGAATCATGGCATAATCATAATATTCAACACAATTATTTTAATCTGACATTATTAAAATAATAATTATTGCCGACGTCTGAAATTTTCTTTCTTTTTTCAACAAAAAAATGAAAGCCATGACAAAGCTCTAAGATGATTTAGATACTCATCAATGACGATAATCAAATATTAATATAATTAATGAAACGCTCACCAGGTAGACAAAGCTGCAACTGATCGCTGCTCGGATTAGTGCTGTCCCCAGTGCCACTGTCCTTACTGTGCTGCGAGCTCGAATCAAGATACAATTGCGTAGTAGTTCCATCAATCTGGACCGAAGCTGGTGTGCCAGATCCCGGCCCTCTCCCACTCCCATGCGAGATATTCAAATGCCTCCTAGTCTGGTAAATAATAACAACCCACACGATGGAGGTGCCCACAGCACAGCAGACAACCGTAATAATGATCAATCCAAGTACATCGTCCTCGTTGACAACCGTCGAGGGCGCAGGTTTGACAGTCAGCCTGGAAGCCCCCACGACACTCCCCAAGGAGTTGCTCATCTCGCACTCGTAAGTGCCAGCATCATTGGGCTCAGTACTAACGATTATCAGCAATTGGTCTTCAGCTGTGAAGAAGTGCCTGACAGTGGCCTGCAGAGGACTTCCATTCTTCCTCCACGATAATTTGGGCCTCGGTGAGCCACTGGCCATGCACTCCAGCACGACAGACCCCCCAACGGCGATCTCCTTGTTCTCCATGGGTTTCACGAACGACGGAGTCTCGAGAATAGTCAGCGTCGCATTAGCCACGATTACACCCGCCATATTCTGGGCTGTACATGAATAAACCCCGCTGTCAGCAGTTTTCACATCGACGATAAATAAAACAGGATCAGTGGGCATCATGTGCATTCGTCTCTCCCTGGCAGCTGGAAAATCATTGCCCCCGTCTTTCTGCCAGGCAATCTGGGGTGATGGATGGCCCTCTGCTGAGCACTCCAATCTAGCTGTACTACCAGCAGTCACTCTGATATCACGAGGAATTTTGAGAAACGAGGGATATATCAAGACACTTATTTTGGCTTTTGCTGAGTAGGAAGTGCCATATGTATTCGATACCATACACTGGTATCTCCCAGCATTAGCGTGAGTTACGTTGATTAAATGGAGAATTGATACTGCTTCTGTGACCCCAGTATCTGAGGCCTTGGAATTCTCCTCGATGTGAACGGGACCATTGCTCAACTGCACGTTCTCGTGCTTCCAGGTGAAGTGCAGTGGAGTGTCTGCTGAGCTTGTTGCTTTGCATGTCAACGTAACATTGCCACCTTTTATTCCCATTTGACTCGAGGGCTCCTCGGTTATTCTGGGCTTTGGGAATTCGTCGCAGGTGAAATTGGCGTGCTGCAATTGCGTCAAGTGCATGCCTTTCAACCAATGGGGGTAGCCACAGCGGACTTTGGCGTCATTGTAGTGATTATTTCGCAGCCACACGCTCAACCACTGCAGTCCACAGTCGCACACCAGAGCTATTGTGTTCATTTTTAATTTTGATAAACGTGGCATCGAGGTAAATGCGTTCTCCTGAATGCTCGTTATGTTATTGCCCAGTAAATCTAGCTCATCGAGCTGTTTCAATCCCACGAATGCGTTTCGATTTATCGATTTTATCTGATTGAAGGCCAAGCCGAGGCGGGACAGCTCGTTGAGTGAAACGAAGGCACCAGTTGCACCTGTTATGTCTTCAATCATGTCTGATATTTTGTTGTTGTTCAGGTCGAGGGTGCGGAGGTTTGGGGTATTGCCGAAGGCACCCTCTGAGATGAAGGAGATCTTGTTGTGATCGATCTTCAGGCGTTCTAGGTTCGTCAGGTACTCGAAGGTTCCTCTTTCGATCGATACTAATTTGTTGTTGGAGAGATCTAAATCTTGTATCTGCTTGCACTGCTCCCAGGCCTGGGGCTCGATGGTGGAGATCTTGTTGTGGGAGAGGGTGAGTTTTCGGAGGCCATCCAATCCGAACAGGGCGCCCTTCCTGACTACTGACAGGGCGTTGAAGTCCAGTTGCAGAGTCAAGAGGGTTTTCAGTGGCCAGAACGCCCCGTCGTCGATCGTGTCGATTTTATTTCTCTTCAGTCTCAGCTCTTGGAGATTCGTTAAATTCTTCAGACACAGGCCTGGTATCTGCTGCAATTCGTTTCGGTTCAGTTCCAGGATCTTTAGATTCCCGAGATTCGAGAAAACGTGTTTGTTGAGGAGAGTCAGGCTGTTCTTGTTAATCCTCAATTCCTCGAGAAGTGTTAAGTTGTCAAAGGCGCCGACTTCAATCTCCTCCAACTGATTAATATTCAGATTTATCTTCACGAGGTGATTCCCAGCGTGAAATGATCCTCGCCTCAACACCTTTATTCTATTTCCTGCTACATCGAGGCTCTGGAGGTCCTCCAACTTCTTAAGTGCCGAACCATTTACAGAACTAATGTCGTTATGTGAGAGTGACAAATGAGTCAGGTTTTCGAGGGAGCCCAGATCCGGTATTCGGTCCAGTGAGTTTTTGTTGACCTTGAGACTAGTCAATTGCGAAGACGCGGGCAGTTTTATTGTGAAGTTATTTTGGAGCTTGTTGGAGCTTATGTCTCTGCAAAAAAATAATGCTCAAGTCTTAGCCATTCGCATTGACTCATTCCAAATACAATAGCAATTGCATAAGGAGAATTTTATTTCCTAATCTATTCTCTTTGCTTGACAATATAATGGCGTGAGAGATGAAATAAAAATATGGACAAAACTATTATAAATGTATTTAAATGAATAAATAAATGAATTGAGTAAATAAAATGAGTTGAAAAAAATCGAATTCTGTATTTTTATTCAATAAAATTTGCAGATTTTTATGCCCTCATGTCCTTGAACAGGACAAAATGTCATGAAATAAAGAGAATGTCAATCCAAGGAAAATAAAATTCTCTAAATTGATTGAATCTTAATTACAAATGATGAACTTACAATTCACGTAATTTGTGAAGATGTAGGAAGGCATCAGATTCCAAATTAGTTATGCTGTTTTCCTTGAGCTCCAGGATCTCGGTCCACGGTGGTAATCCACTGGGAGGAGCAATCAACTGCAGTCCACTGCAAACAACAGTATTACCGAGGCACGCACACTCCACTGGACACTGAACATCCTGTTTTCCACTTAGTTCCAATGGATCTCCATAATTTCCACTTGCACATTTTGAATGACTTAGGAGAACAATTATTGCGAATAGAACAAAGTGATAAGTCTTTCGCGATAAATAATGGAGAGGGGACGCTTCGGAGGAAGCAGTCGACATCCTACAATACCGCCGTTGTTGCTCAAGCAACCTATACTTGGTTTCCTTCCTATTTACTTGTTGAGCATTCTCTCGTGCATTCACTAGTCGATTCACTCGTGCACACCTTTTCCATAACTCTTTATCGATGTTCACTGATTTTTCGTGGAATTTTGTCGAGCAAATTTCAATGTCCGCAGAGTTATATTCAGAATTACGAGTGAGTAGCCATTGCAGCCATTAAAATGGTCCGCTTTGACGTCGGTTGAAAACAACTTATGTTTTCTCACTTCAGGCACAACACGGACAAATAACACTCGCAACGATTCTCTCGACACTGGTCACTCTATCATTGTGAGACAACCCGCTATCTGTAACGAGTGCGATGATTTTTATCCCAATAACCAGACCACTCCGGGGGGAGTAAATCAACTCGCTGCACGCCGGATATGCTGACGGTATTGTTTTTTTTTATATTGTATTTTTCGTGGGAGATACTCACTGCCGTTTACGGTTACGGAAAGATGAGGTTCCAAATGGGGACGCGAACTCGTTGGCGTGCCAGTCGACGACAGGGAGAGCCACTTTACGGACGGGACTTTTTTTAAAAGATTCAACAATTGAATAGTTTTGATTGTATGATTTTTTTTAATTAGAACATCTGATGGTTCAATATTTTCTCTTATGTTTCTACTCATTTCGAATTTAAAGTTTTCGTCTTAATTCTTTGTCGCCACAAATCAATTTGGATTTTTATAATTTTTATAAGAGCCTTCCTGATTTTTCAGGATTTAAAAAAGTCAATGAAAAAATGAAGATTATAAAATTTCTGTTGATGTTCCATTCCGTTCAGATGCATTTCTCCTAGAATTGTGAAATGGTATTTAAAAATAATTTTATTCCTCAATGTTAAATTACTTCCAAGTTTTTATTGTTTCTCTCCAATATGCAATTATTATCGTACATGGTACTCCATATATTATATACAATTTCGATAGATACAGGAAAATTAACCAGTTCCAATAACTCAATATCATTGCAATTCACATCGGTCGATTCATTCATTTGTATTAAATTTCCTATTCAATGCATACAGCTAGTGTTCATATAATTAATTTTTATCAACAAATCACTATTTCACAGCTCTTTTTCTTTCATTCTCACCTTAATCGTTATATAAAGTATTTCAATGACGATTATTAGTACAACTAAATGTAGTAAGCCAAGCATTCATACGGGTGTTTTTTTTTATTTACTTGGAAACAGAGTGCCTTTATAGCAGCGTGCAGGTTCATTTATTTAAATCATTTTGTTAGTTTCATTTCTTATCACAACTGGTGGCATCCACAGATGCGGTCATTTGTTTGTTCCTCTTCCATGTTATTTGATTAAATCATAGTTACGACCGGCATAATTCGCAGAGGGTCAAATTACAGGCATAATATATATTTTTTAATGTTATAGGGGAGATCATCGGTCTCAATCGTCAACAACTCGAGATCGCCAGAGTGAAATTTCACTTTTTTCCTCAACCTGATTCAAATTAAATGGTTCAGTCAGGAGGTATTGATGATTTATAAAGGTTTACTTCAAATGAAAAAAATTTTCTCAGGAGGCGCCATTGGTGGAGATAAAATGATGACATTTACGATGACGTTCACCATACTTGTTACATTATCTATTAATTTGTTTTAGAATTTTCCTGCGTTTCGTTTTCATGTCATCAACAATGAAAACTTATACATGAGCCAACGCGTATTACTGCTGACGACTTGAAAACGAAATGTAAAGAAAATGAAGAAAAATTCAAAGATGATCCAATTGTCATTAAAACATCCTATTAGAAGTGTACGAATATTTTTAATTCACGAGTAAACTTGTTCGCAATTGAAAAAATTTGCTCATGCGATTGTTCAACCCTCAACCCCCTGGGAATTCTGCAAAATGAAATTTCCACAGATAAATGTCATCATCTGCCTCCCTCGACCAAATCACCTCAAGAACATTTCCTCCCCACGTAATCACCTACGAAAAAATTTCTACTCACGCGTCCACCTCCCCTAATCTACCTCGCCCTCTTCTCAGTCTCCTAAAATTACCATCAGAGACCCTCTACATTTACTCAGTAAAACAATAAGATTTAGTCATCCCGTCTGGTGGCATTACTCGAAGAAGCAATGATTTCCGTCGAGTAACTAAGTAGTCGGATGATAAGAATTTATGAGTGCAGCATCAACGGGCTCCATGCACGAAGGACAAGTGAGTGATCTCAACAACCAGTCGTCAATGCACACAGCATGATACGTATGCATACACGGCAAATAGCGCACAGACTCGCCAATAGTGAGTTCCATCATACATATCACGCATTCACCTTTCTTCGTGCCATCGTATTCACGTGTGGGCAGATGCTGAATGAGTCCAATGCGTTTGGCAATTCTCACTTGTTGTTCGTCATCATTAACGGTATTCGCTGTCACTAGCCCACCGGTTGTTGTTGTTGTTCCCCTCGTGCCTATTGTATTACCGCCGATACCATGACCGAGATTCATACCGATACTCGATTCCGTGGAGCGCATGTGTCTCCCTCTGGCCGTTGCTATCGGATAGCGAGAGTCAATCATTTCCTGCATGACAATTAGAGAAGAAAAAAAAAACAATGAGTGATTTATTATGGTTTGGAGCTGGCCTGTGGGGGGGGGGGGCATATTGATTGGAAAATCACGAGGTTGAGATAAGAAAATTGATTAATGGGCCTCTGCATCATGTCGTGGAGAAATATGAATGGAAATTGACGAATGTTGATGGATTATATTTACGTTGTAAGGCATTGCCCGTGCACCGAGGGCATCCTGAGACGAACTCCCTGTCACTCCTGGATCTGAACTGTTGCTCAGGAGATTCGCATTGTCATTCTGAGCTCCTCCCCCACTCTTCAGACAATTCCCCATTTTATTTAATGTGAAACAGTCACTTTTGCTGGACTAACGAGTCGTCTGACAATGACGTCGTCTCTACGAGGGCTCCGATTTTTCCCCGTTCACCGTTGTTGATTCCTGGTAAATGCACCGTTAGGTAACATGACAGAATTTTTTTCTCAATTCCAACAACTGGCGGCTCAATTGATGGTGTTGAGTCTTTTCACATACTCAACGAGTTCTTATCACTGTTTCGTTAATTGAGTGGTAGATTGGCACACTAGAGAGGTAACCATCACCAGTATTCACTAGACATCAGCTGACTTGGTATTCCTCTACAGCTGATGACTTTGCCAATCCAGAGGTGCCCAGGGTGATGAGACGTTGTCATACCACTGGATTTTGGGTTATTCGGGGAAAGGAGGGTTCACTTATGTCTCACTGCCACTTGAATTCACTCACAGTCCAGTGGGTACAGGACAATACGCGATTATCCATAGCGTAGCCCCTTTGTTTGCCCCCGTCTGTCCGTATCTTGTTTTCTCCCCGTCTCCGGACACTTTTCGGAGCGATATTGTCTGTGGCTGCCCTCTCACTCCGTTAGGCTTGTGAGGGGGGAACTATCAGTTGCCTTCTGCGTCGATATGGTAGAAATGTTTGAATGGGCATTAGAAAGGAATAATGCAGCAATTTGGTTTCTCTCGATGAATTTTTTATGAGGGAAATTAATTGAACTTGAAGAGCGTTTCGATTTTTCTACCGATATAATGCATGATTATTTAAGCTATTGCGTGTCAGAATGAAATGTATACTTTTTCATCCAATTTTGTAAAATTTATTCCGAATATAAACGATTGAAAAAAAAAATTGTTTGAAGTAAAATTGTTTTTTGTTCATTTCGATTCGCAGAAAAATTCATCTCCAACTAAATAATGAATGAAATAACGAGAATTTCGATAATATCATTTTTGAATGAGTCAACGTGTTCCCGTCTGTTCTGAAAACTTTTTTCGAATATACATTATAATTAAATACAGAAATTTTTCTCTCGATTAATTTTTTATGGGGAAATTAATTAAATCTATTTCACGATAGAATGGAGTATTCAAACTTTATTCCAAAAATAAATGAATTAAATTCATGACTAATGCATAAAATAAATTGTTTCGCACAGATTTTCTAATTTAAAATTTTCTAATTCTCATTACTTATCAGAGGAAAAATTCACCCCCGACAAAATGACGAATGAAATAACGAGAATTTCGATAATATTATTTGTCCATGAATCACTCGACATTGCCCTCTCGCCCGAAAACTCATTTTCCCCAGCAATAATCTCAAAAACTATTCAACAAAATGAATGAGACTCCTAGTGTATCTTCGAATACGAGTAACAGTGATGTAAAATTGACACAGAGCTTTATCTAATCATAAAGACGATGACCTATCAGCCCTTGTGGCCGTAGTGCGTTAAGACCTTTGAGCCTGATGTTGGGGTCGAGAATATGAGATCAGTGTTTCACTGGTAGCATTGTCAGTTTTACGCGCTCATTGGTATTAACGCGTGGACGCTAAATCATTCTCTCAATGGTCTCGTTGGAAACAGGAAGTGTCTATTTAACTGACTAGTGGATTATCAGCGGTAGAAAGAGAGTTGCGAATACAGACTGTCAATCTTGATGCTGTTATTTGCATCATTGAGAGACAGTAACTCTGATACTGATCGACATGACCATCATCGGGAGATCTCGGTGTCTTCAGTTGCTGACTATTTTTCTACTCGTCGGACTGACGATTCAACGAGGTACGCTTGTTTACAAGTCTAGAATAGCGATAGTATTTCGCAATACTGCCAATCATTTACTCATCGATATTGAATTTCAGAAACTGCGCAAGAGTGCGGACGAACAAAGTGCAAAAGTAAGTGAATTAAAATTTGAAGAGAGAAATTATTTCCCACAACTCGTTTCTTAATTTTAATTCCCTCCGTTTTATAGCTGAAGGCATACCCAAGTTCAAGTACAACGTAGGAACGATTTATCATTACAATCACAATGTCAACGTGAGTCTCAATCTCGGAAACGAATCGACAGCGTCGAATCTCTTCATCACATCCGCCGTAGAAATTGAATTTACAACGGCGTGTGAAGCTGATCTTCGAATCACCGATTCGACTATTGCCCAGCGCGTGAAATCCAAGGACGAGGCGAAGTATCCGGACCGCGCGGAAACGAAATTCAAAGAGCAGCTTCAAAAATACAGTCTGCGATTTGCCTTTGAGGATGGGCTTGTTCGAGAGTTGTGCCCCCACCCGAGGGAGACCATCTGGAGTCTCAACATCAAACGCGGCATTCTGTCGATGCTTCAAAATACCATGAAGCGATTCGACGTCGATCATCACGATAACGAGCTGGACGTCATCGGAATCTGCGACACGCGCTATCGACTTCACGAGGCGAGGAAGACTAGTCTCATCATCACGAAGGTCAAGGACTTGGACAGCTGCTCCAACCGGGGCAAACATCTATCGATAATCCAATCCAGTGGATACACGAGCCCCCGGAAGCACTCGAAGAACGGTCTTCTGGATTCTCACATGAACTGCGAAATCGTTATCGATCACAATATTTATGAAAGCGTCTCCTGCAAGGAGAGTCACACGCTGAAGGCACTGTCCAATCGCGACGCCGCTGTCAAGACCACTGTCAACTCAGACCTAGTGCTAACCGAAGAAGTGAAGAAGGAAGACGCTCTCTCAAGCTTCGACTACGAAGACGAGGAGAACGCGAAGATCAGTTACAGCAACATAGTTCCAACGAATCTCCTGTACGATCACTCGTCGGAGGTGTCAGCAGGCAAAACCAGTCACTCAGAGCTGCGCACCTCGAGAGATCTCTTGAAGAACATGTGCCTTCTGGGGACCAGCGGCCAGCTGGAGCAGCAGTTCTCGGAGATGTTCACCAAGTTCATTCACTCGGCGCGGGCCCTCGATTACCCCTCACTATCGCAGTTATTGTACCGAGCCGACAGCATCTGCATCGGGGGAAAGAGGCACATCCTGGACGCTCTTCCCTTCATCGGCTCCGGGGCATCCCTCAAGGTCATGAGGGACACAATGTCCAAGAAGATGGTGGACAAGGACAGGAGTGACAAGTGGGTGACCGCCATCGCTCTGGTCCCTCGGCCAGACGCATCAACAGTCGCTGCATTGCTATCACTTCTCGAGTTGGAGCGAGACATGCCTGACGCACATTTGACTCTAGTTTACTCAGCAGTTGTCCACGCGTTCTGTCAGAATGACGCGGCCATGAACAAGTGGAGGCACCGCGAGCAGGCGGGGGGGTTCTTCCAGAATGACGACTGTTTGTCGATCGAAGGAACCGGCATAAACAAATTCATGGCGAGACTGGAGGACACTATCGAGCGAGGCTGCACCCCGCGATTTCATAAATTAGAGGAGAATATGAAGACCTTGGAGGCGCTGAAGGCCATCGGGAACATGGGACTGGAGACCGAGGGAATTTTGAGGAAACTCAAGACGTGCGTCAACGACGCGGGAGGATTTCTCCCCATGGAGACGAGTCTCGCTGCTATCGAGGCCCACAGAAGGCTACCGTCGTGCCAAGAAACTAGAGATAAAATTTTCCTGGAACTCTATCGAAATGTTACCTATGATCCCGAGATAAGGATTGCCTCTTATTTACAAGTCATGCGCTGCCCAGATTACACTGTAATCAAAACGATAAAACGCATTCTGAGGGAGGAGCCGGTCAATCAAGTCGGCTCCTTCGTGTGGAGTCATTTAACTAATTTACATGCGTCATCGTCACCCACGAGAATTGAAATACAGAGTTTGCTGACGGATCGCGACCTCGGGGACAAGTTCAACAGCGACGCTAGGAAATATTCAAGAAATTATGAGACATCTTTCTTCTCGGAGGAGTACAACGTCGGTGGAACATTCCAGAGTAATGTCATATTTTCATCGAAATCTTATGTCCCACGAACATTGACATTCAATGTCTCGTTGGATTTATTCGGCGAGTCTGTCCACGTGTTCGAAGCTACAATCAGAATGGAGGGGATGGAGTATTACGCGGAAAAGTTCTTCGGCCCCGACGGACCACTCGCGAACGAGAAGATTTCCCGTCACATTGCGAGCTTCCTCAGGAAAATCAGATCTCCTGATGATGTCAATGCCATTTGGGACAGCGTGAAACGTCTGCCGAACATAATAGACAATAACTTTGACGACCCCAGGATCAGCATCTCCTACAAAATATTCGGGAATGAACTGGACTTCAAGACGTTGAGGGGAAAGGACGATATTGCCAGGAATGTTCTTGCTTTAGATCCCTGGACCAAGATATTGAAACTATTCTCCGGTAAAGAACTGCGTTATGATAATGCTGCCATGTTCTTGGATTCCAGTTATATTGTGTCGAGCACAGTGGGACTACCGGTGAGACTGGATCTCACGGGATCTGCTGCTTGCAATCTTAAACTCTCCGGTCTCCTCGATGCCGGCGAGTCCTCGAAGAAAACGGAAATCCAATTCGCTGGGAATTTGGCGCCGAGTGTCAGCGTTGACGTCACTGGGAAGATGACTGTGGACGCATTCTACAAAAGCGCAGCTATCAAACTCAGAAGTAACATCTACTCGTCGAGTGCAGTTAGATTGAAACTGGAAATCAAGGGGATGGAGCTGATCAGACTCAATGTGGGGCTTCCTAATCGCAAGCTGGAAGTGTTCTCCATGAGGACGGACATTTTACTGGTCAGTGGGAACGAGGGAGCCACGACGGAGACGTCGGCGATAGGCTCGTTGAGACATCAGCCCGTCTATTTCGCCAACACCACGTGCAGCTGGCCAGTTCTCGAACGATTGATCGGGCTCAAGATGTGTCTTGATTATCAATTTCCGAATACCACTGAAATCACTGATGCCTCGTACTTCTTGCTCAATGGACCCACGTTATTCAGAACTTTGATTATCAAGGCTGATCCCACAGCTGAGAGCTATTTGTTTGAATACAAGTGGAATGCGTCTCCGGTGAGTGAACACTTATGGCCTTGCATCGAATTTATGAAGTAATAATAATGAAATGATATTGAGAATGAATTTAATTATTGCAGATACGAAAACAATTCATAGAAAAACTAAACGAATTCACTAGAGAATTTTAGTGACTTCTTATTGATTTTTGATCAATTCTATTGAAAAACTCCACGGCTTAAATTTTCCAATTTTAAAATTTTTTTTTTTTATGGGACGAGAACAGAAATAAAGTAAAAGTGCTTGGAAAATTCATATCGAAGAATTCCTACAAAAAATGTATCAATAGAAAGAAATTGTGTAGAAAACAAAATTGTGCTAATTTTTTCTATTCATACATTTTCTATAGGAATTCTTTGACATGAATTTTCCAAGTACTTTTACTTCATTTCTGTAAAACATTTTCTAAAAACTTTAAAACATGTAAAACATTTTTTTATTTTTTCTATCAAACAATTACTATTAGACATAATCTATTATAAAAAAAACACATTCAATAGAATCAGCAAAAAAAATAATAGAATTCTCTAACGAATTCGCTATTTTTAATGAATTTTTGTAATGAAGTACTAACGAAGTTCTGGACTGAAATTTTCTCTTCCCCAGACGGAGAGCATCATAAAGCTCGCATTCGACACCCCAGGCTCTAAAATCCATCGCGAAGCCAGTGCAGTCCTCATGTTCGACGCGCCAAATCGAAACGTAAGTCTGCTCCTCTCCTCGGCAGGCAACAGCCTCGTGGCGAAGGGCACGTACAAACGCACCGACGACGAAGCCATGATCGACGTCGGTCTCGACGTCAACGGCACCAAGCACCTCCAAGGGTACATGGGCTACGTCCGCAAGAAAGGCAACTACGGCTACACCTACAGCCCCAAAATGTACCTCGCCATAAACGGGGAGCGAGTGGCGGAGCTCCAAGGGACCATCAGAGACGCTCACAAGAACAACGTCTCCCAGTGCGACATCGACCTGACCTTCGAGACGAAGAGAGTCAAGAGCAGAGTAATGGGATACGTGATGACGAGGGCCACCAGTTTAACCGGGAACATAAAACTGGAGTATCAGTTCCAACAGACGATGAGGAATGAGACCCTCCAGGTGGAGATCGCCTTGGCGAATAGATCAACGAAGACGTTAACCCATAAAGAGGCCAATCTGAAGATCCAGTCCAGCGCTTATCCCCAATTGAACGCCATCATCAACAGCTGGTATCAGCAAGCGCTCGGTCACCTCGAACTCCACCTGGAGATCAACGGAAAGCCCCACCTGAGGGACGATCGCCACAAATTGACAGCCCAATTAGTCCTAACTCATTCCAAAGCCTATTTCCAGAGTGAGGAGGCCAAGATAAACGCCTACTTCGCCCTCACCAAGCCCATTCAAAACCTCGACATTAAAATCGGAATCCAGAGATTCTCCGTTGGTCCCGCGTCGAAGACGTACTTCCTGGTGAGATATGCGCCGGGAAAGGAGATCACTCTAGCCATCAACTTGATCACCCCTAGGGGGAGCATGTACGCTGTTGAGGCGCACGTGAATATGACAATTCCAAACCTCGAGTCTCTGATCATCGACGTGAAAATAACGGAGAAAGCGAGACGAGAGTACGACATAGACTTCGCTGGCACTTGGTTCAGTGGACACAACGTCACAATGCGAGGCACTTATGCTGACAGATCTTCAGGGGTTCCTGGGCTCACTGGAGCCCCGCGCATCGTCAGTCACAATCTGAAGCTCCTTGTGAGATCCCCGAATCTCGAGAGGGATATCTTGATCAATTGTAAACTCTATCGGGACCTCACTGACGTCAAACTCGACGTCAATGTCGAGTATTTGGATGCCGATAAATACGCCCTCAAGTTCGAACACTCGGAGGTGCATCTGGGAAAGTTCACGACGTGCGCCGAGGCGAGGTACAGGAACAATGTCTACGCAGTCACTGCCAATGTCGATGTGCAGCGGGAGATCAGGATGGAGATCCATCTGGATCGCTGGAGGGACGTGCACCTCGTTCTCACTGGTATCAACGAAGAAACCAACAAAGAATTTGGAATTGAGATAAAGTGGGATGCGAATCGCGATCCAGAGTTAAAATTCGCGACTCTCCTGCAGTTGGCGAAACATTACGAAGACACAGGGATCACTTACTCCCACAATCTAACGGCGTACGTCATGGTGACGTACCCTGGGAGACTCTTCACGACTTCGGGTTTACTGGCCATGAGGAACGGTAATAATTATGTTCTCGATGGGAGGGTCGTCTGGGAGCCACAGAGCATCATTCAATTCGGCGTGGACATTGACTTCGACCCCGACAACTGGAGGAATTCAGCCAAGTTCGACGGACAGATTCTGACGCCCTTCGAGGGCTGGAGGAAGACCAGTTTGAACGCCAAATACAACTGGACAGAGAAAACCCTTGGGATCAATTGCGACGCGCACTGGCAGGATAACGAAAAATTCCTGGTGCATCTGCTGGCGAATTATGACGAATTGGACGACGGGGGGGACGAGTACAGAGCTGACTGTGGATTGATCAGTTCGATTCATAACATGGGCTGGATGACAGCTAACGTCACCCACAGGCTCTCTCGAAGTGACCAGACCTCGAGTATGGATTCCACTCTTCTTGTTAAATACCATCCTGATAATGTCATTGACGTCAAGAGTAATTGGAGTATCGATGGGCCCTCCAGATCTGGTGATAACATCACTTTAACCGGGAACCTTCAGTTTGCAACTCCCCTGACTAATTACAAAAATGGAGATATCAAATTACAGCTGAGGTGGGAGCCCAATTGGAAATTCGGAGGTGCGTCCAGCGCGGAGATTGATCTGAGAAAATACACGGGGATTTTGCGCGGCGATCTGGCGAGAATTAGAGAGTCTATGATAGAATTTAATTTAACAACTCCTCTGGAGAAATACAGATCGGTCAGCGGGAGGTTTGGCATTTCCGAGAGAAATAGACACATTGTAGCTGAGGTCGTCAGTCCCTCCGGTCCCCTGGGGATCGAGGCCCTCTGCCAACTGTTCACCAACCCCAACAATGATTTTAACGTCATACTGAAGCTGTCAACTCCCATCGAGCTCCTCCAGAGGTTCTGGATTATTGGAAAAATGGCGAAAACCGAGGCCGATTTTAGAGTGGCTTATAATAACATCACTGCTGGCTTCCAGGCTGTCTGGCACTACAACAACATCACGGATTTCCACTACAGCTATATTTTGTTCACCCCGATTCACGGATTGCACGAGAGTGGAATTGTGGCTAAACTCATCGTTCCAGGCCTCAATAGTCAGGCGCCCAAGCAGTACGCCATCGATACGGAATTCTCAGTTAGAGTTGTGGAGACGAAAATAGGGTTCAAAGCGATCTCCGGACAAAAAATTACTGCTCGGGGGCTGAAACTCTTGACGGATGACGAGGCCGATGAAGATCACGAGGATGACTTCAGCTGGCATGGCGATGCCGAAGTGAATCTGGCTGTTGTCCCAGCAATTACTGGGACTCTGGATGTCGATAAAGATGGGATTGTGTATCAGGTCGCTGGAATCCTCACAATTCCCAATGGAGTTGTCATCCTCAATGACAAATTCACTATTGAAGATGTCTTCGATATGAAGAATATTCTGGAGATCACGACGCCGTTCCCCTGGGCAGCCAGGATCAATTACAATTATGTATTCAAAGTGGATATGGAGAATTCCATCTACTTCATGGACACCCAGGTGCACGTGAATCGAGTCGTCTCAGTCAACTCTTCACACTGGATAGAGATCGGAGTGACGGCGAATTATTCGTACGCCGAGGGGGACGAGGACGACTCGCAGAGCCACAGGCTCGAGTTGATACTGAAAACACCTCTGGAATTGTTGAAACGGATTGACGCAGTTGGGACGTACGAGAACGACGAGAATGTCTTCAAATCGCGCATTGAAATGAGGACTAATGAGAGTACTGTGGAGTTCAGTAGCTCCTTGGAGCTGGAAGAGCATTTCTTCGACGGAACGTTCACGCTTGGAGTGATCTCCCCGATTTTGACGATACCGACGACGAAAATCACAGTGAAAAAGGACTTCACCGAGAGGGAAAAGAGGATTGAGGCTGGGATTGAGATGAAGGATGTGAGGAGAGCTCCATGCAGAGTGCAAGTAGCCTGGCAGATTGAGTCGGAAGAGCGTGCGGTGGTTTCTCTCGCTCTGGAGACGTGGATTCAGTCCCTACCCAGTGCCGAGTTCGACGTGTCCTACTCCAACGATCTACCTCAGAACAGGAATCTTCAGATTGACGCGAGACTTAAACATCATCCCCAGCGCGAGTACACAGTATCAGGCACTTACGAACCGACAGGGGCTATTCAAATTAATTTATCCGGACCAGACGATATTGAATATAAATTCGAGGGAACCCTCGATCAATCAAACAGACTCGTTGGAACATTAGTGAACATGAGAGATTCCGATGTTTATCGCGTGAACGGACAATTAAATCTCGAGAAAGGCGAGAGGGGAATCACCTCCTTGGACTCGGCAATTTTAATATCAAATGATAAAAATGGAGATGAGCATAACGTGAATTTGCAGATGACGAGAGAGGAATATGGAGTGAAATTCCTGGTAGGAAGTGGTGTGATGAACGCCAGTTCTGCGTTGAAGTACATAAACGCATTCAACTGGGGCGTCACCTTGGAGACTTCATTCCCCATCATTCAGTCCGACCGAAGTCCGCAGACAGTCCAGTATCGCCTAGAAGCCCGTACAAACGTCCAAGCCAACGGAAACACGAGTCTCTACATCCGCGTGGAATCCCCTCTGCGAGGTCTAGAGAGCCTCGAAACCTCCGGAAATCTTCTCCTGGGAGGTGACAGCGGAGACACTAGACTCAGTCATCGCCTCAACGCCGACCAATACCAATTGAATTGCGCGTGGAAATTGGCGTACATGATCGACATGCTGTTCCGAGTGCAGGGGTCAGCGAATGAGAGGACAGCTGGGGTCGAGGTCTTCCTGAAGAACCCGAGGAACGCCTTCACGAGCCTGAACGTAGGCTTTGACGTGAGGGTCGACGAGGATCGCTGGAGATGCGCCACGAACGCAACCGTTGGCTACAGAAACTCTGAGAACTTCGACGGAATAATTTCCGTTCAACTTCCCCCCCCAGACAACGATGATCACCAGATACTAGTGAGTTATCACAGCAATCGCGGACTGAGAGATGCGAAGTACGTGGTGGGTTACACCGCGGCGAAGGCAAAAACCAATTACGCGACTGACGGATCCGTTTTAATCGCCGAGCGGAACATTGACGCTCATTTGAGATTGAGCTGGGGTAAATCCCCTGGGGAGTCCGTCAATAACATCCTCAACGCCACGTTCGAAGGGACGAAAATAGGGCTGAAGTACTCGCTCTACACCCCAAAGTTCATTCAAGAAGAGACTGGAATTATTCTATTCAATTACGACGGAGGCGAGGGTCAACGGAGCATCCTCGACGCTGACGTTTACTACCCCTCGGCAACTAAAGTTGGAACTGCGCACGTTTCGTACGACAGCCTGAACAATGTTAATGGCACGTTGAACGCCACGACCCCATTCCCGAGGTTCTCCTACGCAGCCTGTGACTTCGTCATCCTGACGACGCTGAGGAGAAACAAGAGATTCGTCAGGGTCTTCTGGCCGAACGACACTGCCTACATGAACTCGGACTACTCTTACCAAAGCGAGAGACTGAATTCTAATCTCGATGGGACTGTGCACCTGGAGATTCCCCTGAGCACTCGTCACGTAGCTCAGCTCAATTACGGGTACAAGAAGAGGCCTCAGGTGACCACTGGGGGGGCTCAACTGGATTACAACAGGGAGAGGATTCTCGACGCCAAGTACAACTCCAAGAGCGAATCTCGTGGGGGTTTCGATAAAGATACAATACAAATCACCCTGGAGAATCCCTTCCAACCCCTGGGTATTGACTACATCAATCAGTTCGAGTACAGCGCTGGGAACGCTGGCACCAATTACCCAACACTAGAGTCGCGAAGGGCGCATGTCTACAGACTTGACAACAGCACTGCCTTCAGCATCGCCGGGGAATCGAGGATCAGAACCACTCACGAGGGACAGGACATCGAACTCCAAGCCGAGAGTTCCAATAAAACAGTTAAACTACGAACGGATTATCAGGTGCTTCCTGGGGAGTTCAACCACAATTGTCGGCTGGATCTAGCCCAGGACGCTTGGGCAACGTACAGACTCAACATCGTGAACAAAACTACTGAAGACATGGATAATCAGTTCATCGTGATCGACATTACGTACCCCCATCGGAATTTCACGATGGACGGGTCCTACATGATAACCAGTCACGAGTTCAACACAGAGGGTAAACTTTCCTGGAACAAAACGTATCCCCTGGGAGAGGAACCTTTCGAGTACGAGGAGGAGAGGCGAATCGGCGCTGGGCTCGCGTGGAGGAATCTAACGGAGAATAGTGAAGGGGCCTCCGACAAACAGCTCCTCAATTTCACTTTGAAGCACCCCAGCCTGACGAAGGACGCTAATTTAGCGGGATATCTGCACAGAAGAGATGGCAAGATGCTGCTGAACACGACGATCATCGTCGACTACTCTGAGAACCCTGAGAAACTCGGGAGGCTGTCCGCAGTGGTGCACGACGACAGCAGTTCCCCCAGGGAAACCAAGTACTCTTATTTGGTGCAGGGAAAGCACCCGAGGACGCGATTGAATCTAGACGTCTTCGGATCAGTGACGAGGAACTCTTGGTCATTCTTTCACACGTACCACAACGCGAGTTACGACAGGGGTTTCCTCCCCGGCGAGAGGGGGCATTTGTACACGCGGATTGACGTCCCCGAGCGGCGGATGGAGTTCCATCGAGAGAGCAATGAAATCACGAAACACCTGGATCTCGCTTATTACCCGACGCATCCCGTCTACAGGATCAACGGGAGCATCGTGGACTCGGTTAAATCGCTGAACGCCACTGGTGCTTACTACCTCAATGTTCCTGAGAAACTCACCTGGATGATGGTGAACTACACTCCCGACGCCGTCACCAGTCTCAGGATGTACGGGAACATTCCCGATGTTCGAAATGCTGTGTTCGATATATGGAGAACTTACGAGAGGGATCTGGTGGTCAGCGACGTCTCGTTTTATCTGAAATTGAATCATTCGAGACTCGTTACGTACACTCTCAAGTGGCGGCCGGAGCTTAAAGGAGATGTAGTGGAGAATATTAAGACGTCTCTGGCTGATCTGTACGCGGAATTTGGGAGGGATGTGGATTATTGGAAGTACTACGTCAAGAGTGAGAGCGTCAGCGCTGTCAACGAGATCTGGGACGATGCTAAGGACGACCTGCGGGGGTACATCAACGACTGGGAGAACCTGAAGGAGCTCGACGACGATTTGCAGAAGCTGAAGATATATCTTAATGACTCCTACAACGCCAATGATTTTTACATCAAAGATATGGTCGCCGTGGGGATGTACGTGATGGATGAACTAGCTTTGAGAAAACATATCGAGTCCCTGCCGAATATTTTCAACGAAATCTGGGAGATAATGGGAGAGTCTGGGGAAGCCATCAGGAATTCTCTCCTGTGGGTCATTGAGGCGACCAAGGCTGCGTACAAAAAAATCTGCGAAATCGCAAGTGCTGTTCTCAAGGGAGAATCAATCTCACAGATTGCTCAAATTATAGAGAAAATTGTCGAGAAGTACGATAAATTCGTGAAGGATCTTCACGTGTCGTTCATCAAATACATCCAGAAGTTGTGGAGCAGTGTATCTCTGGCGATTAATAAACAGTGGGACAGGATTCTAAAGGCTATGGAGCCACTGTTCATCCGAGTTCTTCATTATTTAGAAGCTGTCCTCTGGAAGGCGAGCAAAGAGATTCTGGATTTTTTGTACGACCGCAGGAATGAACTCATCAAATCCCCGTACTTCGACAGACTGGCTAATTTCACGCAGGACGTGGACAAATTGTACCGGGATATCAAGGCCAATGACATAATCACGAACATCAGAAAGTACTCAGCGATCATCATTTCGTTCCTGCAGGAGCGATACTTCACGATGGTTCCATTTGGAAAGGAACTGAAAGCCATCATCGATGAGATACTAACGGAGCTCTCGGAGTTGAAGAAACTGCCGAGCGTTCACTTCGCCCTCGACAAATTCAATTACATTTACGAACGAGTCAGCTACTTCTACAAATACTTCGGCGTGCAAGCGAAGCTGGAAAAAACTATACGAATAATTCACGCCAAGTTGATGGACGTGAGTCAGAGTGCGCTTCAAGCTGAGAGTAAATACAGAGAGGCGAAGACTAAATTCATATTCGATCCGAACATCGGGCTCATGTGTCTCGAGCAGAAGCTGCCCGTCTCGTGGCACGCGTTCAATCAGACCCCGGAATTCCAGGAGATCCCTGAGTACAGGGCAATCATTGATCTGCGGGACTACTTCACGACCTCGAACGCAACTTTCTGGACACTCTATTACCGGTTCAGACCCTACACCGATCCCTACAATCTACTGCCGCCCTTCAAAGCCCAGGCGATGATCGTTGGCCATCAACACTACGTCACATTCGACGGTCATCACTACGCTTTCGTCGGGAATGGAACTTATCTGCTGGCCAGTGACTTTGTAGCCAGCGAATTTGCTGTTCTGATATCTTACGACAATTCGCCCGTTGCAGAAGCAAATTCCACAGTGAAGCACAAGATTATCGTGCTCTGCGGACCCCAGGAGATCGAAATAGATGTCTTCGCTGACACCGTTGCCATCCGCAACTCCAATGACTCCCTCCGACTTCCTATGGAATTGGAAAATGGAATGGGATTTGTGCATCAAAAAGAGAGCATTGTAACGGTGGAATTGAAGAGGGGACTGTTCAACCTCAAATGCAATCTTAAATACGACGTATGTGTCCTGGAATTAGCGGGATGGTACTTCGGAAAAACAGCGGGATTGCTGGGCACAATGAACCACGAAGGCTACGACGACACGATTCAATCGAGTGGAGTTGTTGCGGGTGATATTCTCAGTTTTGGGAACAGTTGGAGAATCCCGGAGGCAAATCAATTAGAAAATAATCCCCCGCCCCTCAGGAATCTGGCAACAGCTGGTGATGCTGATGAGGAGGCCCTCAAATTCTGCCAGAATATCTTCTCCAACAAGAGCTCGGAATTCGGCGACTGTTTTGCAGTGGTCGAGCCCGCATTTTACGCAACAGCATGCGCAAATTCAAGATCAGTGTCTGACGCTTGTACACTAGCGATATCTTACATGCAGATCTGCGGGTTCTATGATACGTTTTTGAGAATTCCAGACATTTGTACTTTCTGTCCCATGAGTGACGGATCTGCAGTTCCCGAGGGGGAGTTCCGAACACTAGAGGGAAATCGCGTGCCCAAGTCCACGGATGTTGTTTTCATTGTTGAGGCGAAGAGTTGTAATTACGATGTAAAACAGAATCGAAGTGTTAGTACTCTCGTGAGTCAGATTAGTAAGGAACTCATGGACAGTGGGCTGAAGAATAATCGCTGGGCACTTGTGACTTTCGGAGGTGACGGGGTTTATGATAAACCGAGGAGTCTCATTCTTGATAATAAAATATTCACGCAGGATACCGAGAGATTCCCCGATTATTTCGATACCATTGGCATTGGGAATGGCAATCAGGACGTGTTTGGGGCGATAGCGTTTGCCTCGCAATTAGTTTTCAGAGCCGGTGTGTCCAAGACCTTCATCCTGATGCCCTGTTCGCACTGCGAACCCCAGAACCAGACGTTGGAATATTCTGTTATTAATCAGGTACTGCTCGAGCACGAAACTACACTTCATATTCTCATGGATGGAGACTTTAATTTCAATAAGCAGAGGCTGAGTAAAATATTTTATGGCCTCGACGCGACAAAATCCTACACCAGGAAAGATGTGAAGATTCTGAGTGGTGATGTCGACCTCAGGCGTCAAGTTAAATTGTCTAAGAGTGCTTTGGGGTACTGCACCCCACTCTCTCTCGAGTCTAATGGAACGATATTCAGTGGGAATAAGTTGAGGTTTGAGAAACCCACTGCTGTCAAGAAATTTGCTAGTGTTTTTGCGAAGAGAGTCGCAGCAACTGCCTCCCCCAGCTCCTGTCAACACTGCGAGTGCACTGCGGATAATGACGGCGTCACTCACATGGACTGTATGCCCTGTGTCTATCCCATGCCGACGTATGTCGATTATGTCAGCGTAAGTTTATTTTTTTTCACGGGTTTTCATGGGAATGTTCATCACATGATGTATTGATGTCTTTCTTCCAATTTTTGTTCAATTCAATTTTACAGTTTTCTCATCCGGAGCCAAAAGATCAGATTTTCGGTTTTTCCAAGGGGAAAGTCGACTTTCGCCAAAATCGAATTTTTTAGCCGGGTGAACGTTGATTCCAACTATTTAAGCGACGGGCTATTCAGAACTCTCAAAAGTATGTGGAAAAAGTGAAAATTGAAAAAGGTTTTTTTTTCACATTTTCAAAGGGTCAGATTTTCCGTTTTTCCAGGGGGAAAGTCGACTTTTGCCTAAATCGAATTTTTTAGCCGGGTGAACGTTGATTCTAACTATTTAAGTGACGAGCTATTCAAAACTCTCAAAAGTATGTGGAAAAAGTAAAAACTGACAAAAATTTGACCCAAAATCGTTAAAACGGTAATCAAGTACAATCGATCCGGTCGATAAAATATCCGGAATTGAGTATGATCGATTGAAAAAGTATAGCATAAGCATCAATTACAAGCAGCCTGACTAGCGCGCGCAGCGCGCGTCTCGCCTAGTACCTCAAGAAATAGATCAAATAAAAACGTAAAAATAAAGAAATATAATTTTTTTTCACAGGAAACTTTCAATGAAGACGACACATTGTCAGTCCTTCAACCGATGGACGTCGACTACGTTCAAATTGATGATGTAGAAGACTAATTTAACGTATACACGTATATTCTCTTCAATATCACAACTCTCATGAGTTTCAGTTTGTATTATATTTGAAATAATGACATTGTTAAATCAAATTTATAATATTTCACATGTGTCATATAAAACCATTTTCTAATGTTCAATTTGTATACCAATAGTATAATAACGACAATATCATATTTACCTCTATCATATATCTTTATGTATAATATACGGGGCATCATGTTGATGATGATGATAAAGAAATAATATCGATGACAGGATGAAGTTTAAGACATTGGTGATTATGTCAATGGTAAGTATCCAAAATTGGAAGATATAAAAATGACACTGGTTATGATCAAAGCACTCTCACTTTGCCAAAACTGTTGTAACTGCAGTTATGTTTCCATGGTCCCTTGATAATTTGGGATTTGGTCATCTGGGATCATTTGCCTGCAGGTGATTGGGGGCATCAGCGAATGTGAATTTTAATTTGTAGGCTTCGGCAACTAGAACTCCTATTTCAGAGTCTGACCAATTTTGGGTTGGCAAATTTTGCAGCATTAACATTAGTCCCTTGAACATAAGAACGAGAAATTACAGTTATTATTATTCATTTATTTATTGTTTCATTTATGCATTAACATTGAGAAAAAAATGTTTGAGAAAAGTTCAACGAATGAAGTTTCAATTTTTATATCGATTGAATTGTTTTCATTTTAAAATAAAAAAGCCACGTACTTGGAAATCAGGTTGAGATAACAGATGACGTCTCCACCGCAGAAGAAAAGCAGCACAAACATACAATTGAAAAGAAGCAAAACGATCAGACTCAGCGAGATACGTATCCCAAAGGCGTATGGTACAATGAAGTGGTATTTCCCTAGTCAAAAGATTGTTCATCCATCGAAAGGAGAACTGGAGATAATCCACACCATGCTGATGTAAATGTTGATGGAGAGGTGCATCAATCCTCTGTATGAGCTCCTTCAGTTGATTTACCTTATGCTGAATCCCTAATTGCGCAAATATGTAGTTATCTTGGATACCATCGAGGAACTTTGAGAGACACCAGAAACTATCGGCTTCTATTATATCTCGTTGTTTCTGGTCTAGCGAGGCTACATCGTAGTTTTCAATGTCTTGCCAGACTGATGCTGGAACTGCCTCTTGGAGGAACACGAGGAAAAATGGTGTTACCAGGTCATTCATACCCTGAAAAATATTTTTGATTATTTTTTTTTCCAGTGAAATACGAAACGTCACTATTCTTTAATTTTTTTCATTATTCATGTGAAATTGCTGTGATGACAGTTGATGACTGAGTGAGGAAATTTTGCAAGATTTCTGATAAGATGAATGAACAAGCAGGGAAATTAAACAGCATTAATTCCTTATCTGAGAATTTTCGTAATCTCAATTCAAATACGAATTCCATCCTTGACTCAAGAATTATAATTTTTTTATTGGAAAGGCATAATTACCTGAACATAACCAGACGCCGGATGTCGTATCGCCCAGATATAGAGTATCCTCTCAAATATCAATTGCACGGTATTCTGTTGAAACAGCGAAATAAGAGGGGACATCCTGGGAATATCAATGTGTATCTGTCGATATGTGTCCTGAAAGCCCTCATCCCTCTCCGCATCATAGTACTGTTTCACTAAATTCAGATAATCCGAGCGCTTGCGTTCCAGCACTTGTTGTCGTCTCTCTGAACTAGCTGGCAAGTACTCCTAAAATAGAGAATCAAGACAATTGCAAGATACGGATGACGACCCATTGCAACCGGAAAACAATGATTTTGCAGTGGAACAGTACCGATAGTAGTCTCCACGTGACAGATCGTAACTTCGCTGGGACTCCAGACCAAGACAATTGCCTCAACTCATCAAGATTCAGCAGAGACGCCTCGAGAAGACTCTGAAACTTTTCAATTTTACTCTCGCCATCCTGCTCCTTGGACGGTACAAAAAATTTATTAGCCGGTGTTGTTTGTTTGAGGGCCTGCGGTCTCCCCGGAAAATGGGCACTTCGATGTGGCGAATGTCCAAAATCAGTCTCCCCATCGTCACCAGTATTTACAAACCTATTTCGATCATTTCTGAGGTGAAGTGGCTGCACAGCCAGTCTCTGGAGTGCCTCGGTTCTTTTTTCCTCAGGTATTATCTCCTGACTCTTGGCTGAGTGATAGTCTTTAGCTGCATTAGCACTACTACTACGATGGCTATTTATCACACTCATAGCAGCGGAATGACTGACCTTCTTCGATATTTTAACATCTGATACCATGCAAAATTCATCGTCACCCGAGTCCCAGGCGTCATCGACACTCTCTTGAAAGTCTCTGAATGATGCTGCACTGGTACTGCTGCCAGTTCCAGTGCCACCATTGCCACCTGCTGCTGGGAGGCTACTGGACGCCGAGACTTTTGGACGATTGTCTTGTTTTGGGCTTGGTCTGGTGTAATAATACAATTGTTTTGTTAATGCTGATAGACTGATTCATTTATTGTTAATAAGCAAGTTTTCCATAACTATTTTAGAGGTTTTGATTGCAATTTTCACGCCAATCATGAATTCTCATTTGTCGATTTACAGGGAATAAATATTGGACAGTTGTCTGGAAGAGAGCACCCACAAAATTTAATTTTTCTTGTTGATTTGAATACATAATATTCGCTTTTAATTACTGTAAAATGGTCGAATAATTCCACTTCTTCATAGTTAACAAAAAGAAATTGATAAAAATACCCCATTCGTTAGCAGTCGACGTGTATTAATTATTAAAAAATTGGGCTTGAAAACCTCAAACGAATCAGTCTGTCAACAATAAATGAATTCTTCAATCAGTGAAGACAATGAGATATGAATAATTACCTTCCCGGAACAGTGCGTGCATTCTTCTTCCAAAAGGACGGCTGATTGTTGTTCCCCGGCACTCGATACCCACGATTTTCCATATTCACTTGTATCACCAACTGCCATCAAGTCAATGGTACTCAATCAACGAAATTTAAGTGCATAAAACATTGGCTGTACGTGACAACGTCTAACCCAGCTGGCATGGTAAAACATTAAAAATGAATAACTGTTTTTCATCTGTACTCCAGTGTTCCAAAGCTGTTTTGCTTATTAAAAAGGTTAGGTCATTCAAAATTAAGGGGGTTTTAACACTATGGCAGTCGTGGAAATAATTAATAACTTTACGAGGAGTGAACAATACGACGGGCCACACTGCTATTATTAAGGTAAATGTTGTATGTTATTTTCTTACAAAAGAGACACTTTTATTATGAAAGATGGCACACGTCATCAATACCGATGGGCCTCGGTTAAAACTACTCTCTGGCATTGGGGGATCTGGTTAATGCGGTCATTGTTTACACTCAGAACCATTGGGACGGTTACCGGACACATTGGCGTTAGAATGGGAAAATTAAAAAAAATCGGGGCCGTCGAGATTCGTGAGTGAAAAAATAATCAGTCTCGGGTGCGCCGTAGTGTTTGACGTATGGCACAATTGTCTTGAGTTACCGGAGAGTGCTGCCACCTGCTGCGCTCGCAGTCGCCCACTTTTATATTTTTTTTTCTCCGTTATTCGGGAAAAATTCGTCAGCTATGCGCATTCATCATTTTTTCAAAAGTTTATTGTTAATATTGAGGATACGTGATGTCATAATCCTCATAGGGATCGTTTTATTGAAAATAATTATTTATAATTCTATGGTAAAGGATATCGGTGAGCGAGAACGGGATGTAATCGTCAGGTGAGAAACGAAATATTTGTTTTGCCGACGAATAATGTGTCAAAATGTTTCCGCAAGGGTCACGAGGGTCTCGAGTATCACAAGGCCACGCACGTGCGCATATAAGCTTGTGGAAGGCGTTTTTCCGAAAAAATCACGTGTGTTCGAACGACTCGACAGAACAGACGACTGGCAATTGCAATTGTCTTTCTCTCCACTGAAAAAAATCGCAAAATCAAAAAAATCGCTAAATTCCAAGGAAGAGGGTTTTATTACCCAAAAACCGTTGGATTGGGCAGCAGTCGCAACAGATTGCGGGGGGAAGGATCGCTCAACGTACAGTGGTACGCCATATAAGAGGATTTAATTATAAATAAACTATTAGTTCCTAAACTATAAAATTGCATTCCTAAACTATCTCAAATTATTCCCAAATGACCGGAATTGCGTTCATCCGCAAATTGATTATTTACCTGCTACTCGTCTTTCGGATCTTTTTTCTCCTCCCCAATTGCCGTTTTATTTCCTAGGTCTTGTAGATATAGGTCAATAATAACAGTGCCATCACTCTGTCCCGTAATTTCGTATCGGCGAGTCTAGAGTATTATTTAGTAATTGCGGTTGTCCGTCAGTCCAAGTTGCCGGATACAACTGGATTAAACCAGAAGAATGTGAATCAAAGAAAAATCGAATCAACAAAGGCGAATTTTGAGGAATTTTAAAATGAAGGGAATATAAATGTGAGTCATCGAATGTTTGCATGAAACTCGAAGGTGGTATCTGTTTGGAGCGAGAATACATCGAGAATTGGGGATTGCCGGAGAGAAAGACCGAGGAAGTGGTGGTAATCGGGTTTTTGTAGACCAAGTGGTGAGCACGATTTGACCAGCGGCGATCAGTACCGTCAGTACTGTCAAACAGTTCAGTACGTCACCCCTCAGTATTCACACATGTACAGTTTTCCATAATTAAATTATCCGATTTTTTTACCATCCATTTTGCGTTATGATTGGGGAATAATAACAAAAGAGTTTCCGTTTTTATTACGCATCGGTGAATTGGTAATTTATCGTGTTAGAAACCAGTTTTTATCCTTGTGAATTCATCAATACATAATATAAGTCGCTAATGAAAGGATAAAACTTCTTTAACACGAGGCAGTTTTTTGCGACGAGTTTTTTTTTCTCTGTGAAAATAATATTCTTGATAATTTATTCATAAGCGAGGGTTTCCTTTATTTTTCATTCAAGATAGTTTTGCGGTTGTTGGTGATAGTAATCAGTCAGTTGGTGGGTTAATTTAAAGCGACTGCTTATCAGTTTCGCGTTCCTCTTCGCAATAATATTCCCCCTTGGCACTAATATTTTCCACAGTAATAAATGTCTAAGGAGGGCACTCTAGAAATTAAATCTTGACTCGTGAATTTCTCCTCGTCCGTGAAGAGATGCGAAATTATAGAGAAAGTTCAGTAGAACTCATGGTCCTTTCTTCTATCTAGGATATTTTAGTGTTGTGGAAATTTAATTGTCATTATTTTTCGTAGCTTGACTAGCAACAATGTCAGACGTAGAGGGAGAGGACGAGGTACAGTGCTATTTTATGGGTAATTTCACGTGATAATTATCTAGGATTAACGGAAAATTTAATTTTTATGGTTCACAGTTTCAAGATGCACAGGAAACTATCACGAGGTACATAAATGATGGATTTTTATTAGTGAATGTGAATATAAAAATGGAAAAATGTTGCATTTAGGCCGACTACTATGGTCTTGGATACAGCGATAGATGAAGCGAAAAAGTCGATAAATTGTTTTTTCAATAATGATTTTGAGAGTGCCAAGAGAATTCTCGAGCCCTGGGCGGAAACTAGCATGTACCACTCACTGGGAACAGCTGTTTTTGCCTGTCTCGAGGCATTCTTGACATTTGAACAGGTAATCAATCATCGATAACCATTTGTAATTTAATTATCTCGAGTGTTCAAGAGGAATTAATTTGATGTATTTCCAGCAAAGTATAGCTAAAGCCTCCGAGACTTTGAAACAATGCATGAATGTATGCGCCAAGCAACGCCGTCATGTTACTCTCACACAAAATATTGGAAAAATGGTCAAGAGGACGAATTATGATATCTATACAGACGGTGAGATCGTTAAAAATTATTTACGACGCATGCTGCAGTCTCGAGAGAATATAGTAATGAGTCGTTTTTTCGACGATGTAATCATTCTCTAGAGGGTCATAACATGAAGAATAACCGGTCGTTTATCGAAAAATTTAATCTAAAAAATCTTGTTTTTCATTCCCTATGAATTTTTAGTCGTAAAAGGGTCATGAAGTCATTTTTATGGTCACAAGTGCCAGAAATTCATAAATTTCTTCTAACGATAGTGATCTTAAAGGTCAATGAACGAGGAATAAACTGCTGGTTACCAAAAAAATTCAATCGAAAGAATAGTCTATGTTTTTCCGTTTCTAACGGATTTCAAATAATTTCGGATAGGAAGTAATGAGTCAACAGTTATTCATCAGTAATCCTAGATCTAGCTGCGTCAGAATATTTCCGTCGAGTTTTCCCAACAAATTCATTGAGCATGAAGGAAAAAAATTCCAAAAGAATACAATAATCTCTCGGATATCACAATAGATCTACTAAATTCATGCTAATGACTACAGACAATCAGTTACGATAGAAATCCACTGATAAATAGACAGCATGAAGGGAATGATGGTGAAACCTATTGATAATTACAGAGGAGGTGCATGCGGAACTATGCTATGCTGAGTCCCTACTATTGAAGGCGATGCTTACGTTTGTCGAAGACGAAACTCTGGTTAGCTTCGTCAAAGCTGGATTGAAAATTCGCACATGCTTTCTCATATATAAGTAAATAAAAGTTGCAATTGCCATGATGAATTCAATCTCATCATGACATTTTCATTTCTCTGATAATGGAGTTGTGTGTAGCGTGTACCAAATAATTATATTTGTTACATGCATTTGTAGAGAGTGCCTCATGATTTTAAAATCACGCAAGTGGACGAATGAAACACACAGACTGCACTTTGAGAGTGGCGTCCGAATGGGTATCGGAACATTCAATCTCATGATATCTTTGCTACCAGGGAGAGTTATCAAATTACTTGAGTTTATTGGATTCTCCGGTGATAAGGTGATTAAGTCATCTCTAGATTGTATTCGCTATAATTTGATGATTTAATGATAGGGGCGGGTAATACGGACACTTGACTTTTTTTTACATATTTATAATTCATCGAATTGGTTGATGAAACGGGATTTTTTCTTCTTGCAGTTCAATTGAACATTTTAAAAAAAATTGGCAAGTGTTCATTTTGCCCCAGCCACTCCTAATTATGAAATATTTTACAATAATAGGAATATGGACTGAGAGAACTCAAATTGGGGTACAACGAGAAACGAGGAATACGTCAAGTCCTGTGCGCAATAACGCTATTGTCCTACAATTTGATAGCAACATTTATTTTAAGCCACACAGATGGTGACCTTGACTTTTGTAAGAAAGCACTGGCTGAGCAATTGGATCTCTACCCAAACGGCGTATGGTTTCTATTCTTCAAGGGTCGCCTCGAGTTTATACAGGGAAATATGGATGAATCCATAGAGTGGTACAAAAAATCGTGGAGAAGCCAGGAGTTGTGGCCCCAGTTTCACCATTTATGCTTCTGGGAGCTCATGTGGGCGCACTGTGTCAAACAAGAGTGGGATGACGCCCTCTTCTACGCAATATTCCTACCTGAGCAATCCAATTGGTCGCGAACAATGTATCTTTATCAACAGGCCGCAATTATGATCATGAGAAAACCAGATAGCAAAAGCTCTGATCGCGATTGCATTAATAATCTCATGATGCAAGTCCCAACGTACAAACAGAGAATAGCCGGTAAATCTCTGCCAATGGAGAAATTTGTCTGCAAAAAATCGGAGAGATATTTCTCACAGTGTAAAAATCTAGTCTTACCTATTTTTGAATTAATGTTCGTGTGGAATATTTTCCGGGTGGTTGGCAAACGCAAGGATCTTATTATGAGTATGTACAAGGCTATTGAGGATGAGGAGAAGTGTCTGAAATCCAGTCCGTGAGTTGATTTTTTATGGATCAACTTTGAGATAATTATTCTCGAAGCGTTTACGAAGAGAGGTAATTATTATTTTTTCTTGCAGAAAGACAGAGTACGATGCGGATAATAATGCACTCTTGCTGCTGATCAAGGGTGCATGCCTGCGACAAATGAATCATCCGTTGCAGGCAGAGGATTGCCTCAAGCAAATTATTAAAATGGAGAAGCAGATTAAGGAGGACGCTTATTTGGTGCCCTACGCTGTTGTCGAGCTGGCGGTTCTGGCGCGAGATCGAGGCGATATCGCAACGGCTATTGCTCTCCTCGAGGATGCCAAGTAAATTCATTTTCATACGTTGTCGAATGTCTGGGGTAGAAAGTTGCCAATTCATCGACTCTTGATTTGTTTCAGGCGCAATTACACTGGATATTCCCTCGAGTCACGTCTACATTTTCGAATCCACGCGGATTTGTTGGAATTGAACAGCAAGAAAGTCAGTAATGGGAAGAAGATTGAGGTTGCTGAGGAGGCTGAGGAAGCTACAGAAGCTATACTGTCGGAGCTGATTTCTAAGAGTGCAGTCAATTAATGCTGCTTTCGTATTGAAATTCAATTATATGATATTTGGGATCTATCAAAATGTTGGTTTAATAATTCCATTATTGTAATTGGAATTTATAGTGCTGTATGATGGGCCTAGGTCTATTTGAAAAACCAAATATTATGTATTATAATATAGTATATATATATATATTTATCAGGAGACTGTGATCTATTTTTTCAAATCCTTCGACGATTTTCCCTCAAAATTAATTTTTTCACTGCTCGAATGTCATCTAGCCAAAATGAGAAATTTCAATTTCTACAGTGATAATTTTCCAAAAGGCTTGGCCTCACGATAAATTTAAAGATTTTTGCAAAGAATTTCCAGATAAATTGATTGGGTTTTTATCATCGAGATCGTAATTTTTTTGACGGCTTTGGTTTTTCAAATAAAAAATGTTGAAAATTTGAAAATACACATTCCCATTACAATTAAACATTAAAATTTGCCGTTTTTATTCATTAGATGTGGAAAAATCATGAAATTTGTTCGCACCTCGTAGAAAAAAGCGATCGTTTTGCAAGTAAATTTCCTTATTTATTTATAGAACTAAAATGCAAAAAAAAATATAGATATTGTGTAAAATGTAAAAATAAAGAAGAGAGAGAAAAAAGTAATGTTGAAAAACAACTCAACTGCATCAGAAAAAAATTCAGGAGAAAAATCGTATATAAATCTCATCACTCCCGAATATCATTCGTAATTATTAAATAAACCACGTGGGGTTCCCCAGCGTCGTGCGCGCGCGATCTACATCCGGCATCCGGCGCGGTGCACCAGTAAAGTGCCGACAATTACCACCAACCGAATTTCCCATTACAAACCAGTAATAATACATTCTCCCCTTTTCATGATTATTCCGAAGAATATTCAACTGAAAAATACGCATCACAATCGCACTTTGAAGCTTCAGTGAGTGAAAAAAGCCTTCACAACTGAGAGAAAACCATTGGAATAATCGCTGGAGCTAACCTCCTTCTCATCATTCCCTCCAGTTGGATAGAACAGTTATCCCCGATGGCCCGATGAGACACCGAAAATCGTAAACAATGGCGACAAGTCCGACCTCCCGAGACATCGAGAACTCGTTGAAGGAGGCTCTCTACGAGACCCTCAACGGCATCCTCTCGCCTCACCGAGACACCCGGCAGGCGGCGGAGCAGAGGATTCAGGCTCTCGAGGTGACCGACGACTTCGGGATCCACCTGACTGAATTCGTGGTAGACAGGAATGGGCCCCTGGAGATAAGACAGCTGTCGTCAGTCCTGCTGAAGCAGTATGTCGAGATCCACTGGTCCCCAGAGGCCGAGAAGTTCCGACCTCCCGAGTTGAAGCACGTGACCAAGGAGAGAATCAAGGAACTCCTGCCTCTGGGGCTCCACGAGAGCATCAGCAAGGTCAGGGCATCAGTTGCATACGCAATATCAGCGATTGCCCACTGGGACTGGCCTGAAAACTGGCCAGGACTGTTCGACATTCTGGTGAATTGCCTCAGTGGACAGAGTGAATTCGCTGTTCATGGGGCGATGAGGGTTCTCAGTGAATTCACCAGAGACTTGACTGACACTCAACTCCCCAATGTTGGCCCTGTTATTCTCCAGGAGATGTACAGAATATTTCAGAGTGATAATCAGTACTCGATAAGAACGAGGGGCAGGGCTGTGGAGATCTTTGCAACCATCACTGGCTTGGTCGCCTCCACAGGGGTTTATCAGAAGGGATTCGTGCAGCAGTACCTCCAGCCAGTCATTCCCATGTTCTGTGAGAAATTTGTCAAGTACTTGAGGGAGCCCAATGGCCCCATCAGCGATACTGGCCTCAAGACGGATATTATTAAGGCTGTTAATTGTTTGGCTACCAAGCTGTCCAAGTATGTGGCTAATTATCTACCTCAGATACTACCGCCCATTTGGGATACTCTTGTGCAGAGTGCCAAGGTTTATCAGGAGGAGACTGTTAATGGGGGGGATGATGAGGATATTGAGGAGAAACAAGTCGATTCTGACGGTAATTATTGCTTGGAATTTCATTCATTTTTACTTTCTCAAAGCTCTCATTTTTATTTATTTATGCTGAAGATGCAAATAATATAGTTATTTTGGATTTTTGAATTTATTGTGAAAATCAAATGCTATATTAGTGGCAAATGTTCCAGTATATAAAATTTTTACTCTGCTTTCACCAATTATTGAATAATTCAAGAATTTTCACTAGAGATTTGAATTGCGAATACTTTTATCTAATTTTTTTGTTCGCAATGTACTTTTTCTTTCGTTTTTAACTCTCGTTTTTCAGGTGAAATAATAAATTTCAATAATCTCATCATCGCAATCTTCGAGTTCATCCAGGGCTTGATGGACCAGAAAAAGTTCTCAAGTCTTCTCACTAATCTCGCTGGCGAAACAATGTACTATTTAATAATATTTATGCAAATAACCGAGGAACAGATTGAACTCTGGGCCACGAACCCCAGTCAATTCGTCGAGGAGGACGATCAGTGTGCCTTTGCCTACAACGTTCGAATATCAGCGCAGGAGTTGCTCTCTGTAAGTATCGAACAGCCGGGTTTCCCTGAATTTCTTGAAAAGGCTATCGAAGCGAAAAAGTTATTTTTTGCGGTCTCATAGCATCAAGATGTGTCGTCTACAGGCTCTAGTCCATCGTTCAGAGGAGGATTCAGTGAATACCCTTTGTGGAGTTGTTACGAGACATATCGAGGCCGCTAACTCCATGAGGACGACTAATGAGAACTCCTGGAAGCTCTCAGAAGCAGCTATTTTTGCTCTGAGCATTGCTAAGGATCAAATCGTTGAGAAATTGGAAGTTGGAGGTCTTCAGTTCGATATCGCCGCATTTTTGGATCGCGTCATATTGGGAATACTCAATGATTCAAGTACTTAATTGATGAAATATTTCACACTTTCGAGATTTTTTCTTCAACCTTGCCAATTCGCTAGAAAATTCTTTTGGATATTTTCTATAGAAACCCCACGATTCAAATTTTCCCAGTTTTTAAAATATTTTTTCCATCAAAAGAAAAGAAAAATAGAGTAGAAACAAGTCGAAAAAATTAGTGAAGAATTGTGCTTTCGATAGAAAACAAAAATCTCATTCAATCAAAAATTAAATGATCCAACAGCATAAAAAAAATCAAGTGTCCATTTTTCCCCACCTGCCCGTAATCTCCACATTCATAAAAAAATTGTCTTTTGATTTTGATACAGGTGCTCACCCATTTCTCCTGGGTCGATGCCTCTGCCTAGCAGGCAGATGTGCCAGGCAAATTCCCCCCGAGATCATGCCTCGTTTCCTCGAGGCGACAGTCAATGGACTCCAGGAAAACCAACCCATCTGCATTCGAATTAGTTCGGTCCGAGCAGTCTACTGGTTCTGCGAGGCATCCGCCGTCCCAAATGCCCTCATAGACAATGCCGTAAGGTCCCAGCTGTCAGCAATGTTCCAAGGGCTATTCAATCTCGTCGCAAATCAGCCCACGACAGAAGTTCTGACCCTGGTCATGGAGACATTTGCAGTTCTCATCTCCTTGGACAAAGACTTCACAGCCAGTGTTGAAGGGAAAATCTGTCCCCTGACGATAGCTGTCTTCGTGAAATACCACAGTGACCCAGAGATACTGTCAATCTGCCAAGACATCTTCAAAGAACTAACCGAAAATCCCCAGTGCATTGGACCCCTCCAAACACGACTGATTCCAACACTCGTCAGCATGATGACGGTGAATGCTCTCGATAAAACCGGTGACGAAGGGACAAAAGGAGTCGCTCTGGATGTCCTCCAAGTGCTGGTGCAATTCTCCCCTCGTAATTTGAGCAGTCCTCTAGTGGAAAATGCATTCCCAGCAGCCTGCCACTGCATACTGAACTCTGACGACAATGGGACCCTTCAGAGCGGTGGAGAAGTCATAAGAACTTATTTATCAGTGGGTGCAAGGCAGGTCATTGATCACCGGGATAACGAGGGTCGCACAGGACTGCACTACATACTCCAGATCGTTGCCCAGCTGTTGAATCCTCAATCCAGTGAATTCACAGCTACATTCGTGGGGAGACTGGTGACAACATTGATCAGAAAGGTTGGAAATAGTCTGGGGGAGAACCTGGATCTCGTCTTGAAAGCTGTTCTCAGTAAAATGCAGAGAGCTGAAACGTTGACAGTCATGCAGAGTCTGCTGATGGTTTACGCACACTTGATTAATACTGAATTCGATGCTGTTCTCAATTTTTTGTCGACAGTGCCAGGACCCACTGGACAGAGTGCTCTAGCCTTTGTTCTTGTCGAATGGGTTGCAAGGCAGCACTCTTTCTTTGGTAGTTACGACAGGAAAGTGACGATCGTTGCTTTATCGAAGATTCTGGAGCACGGTGTCACTAATGATGACTCCAGGCTCAATGAGATCATGGTAAAAGGCGATGAAATCTTTTCACCGAGTGAGGCTGGCGTTCGCACCAGGAGCAAGACCCAGTCGCATCCGTATCAATGGACAACAGTACCCATTCTCGTCAAGATTTTTAAACTCATTATTAATGAGATTTCTAATGATATGGAGGCCGGTTGCGCCGTCACTCAGGAGACTGAGGATTCTGATGATGAGGAAGTTGGGGATGATGACGATATGTACATAAACCCTGGGAATGAAGCGGATCTGTTGAGAATTACTGATGAAGCAGAGGAGGAGGATGACCCTGATCTTCTCCAAGATTCAATCTATCATCTGAATCTTAATCAATATCTAAGAGATTTTCTCACAAATTTTTCAAACCACCACTGTTTTCCAGCATTCATACAACATCTGAACCCCGCTGAACGAAAGGTTCTCAATAATCTCAGCATAGCTCCGACATTCATTCAGTAAATACGTTGCCATTTTTCGTCATAATAAATGTTCACCAAGTGATGTGTTTTTTTTTCTACTATTATGTACATTGTTATCAATATATTAGAATACATACCGGGATTAAAAATGAAAAAACATTGATAATAAATGCTTAAAATAGTTTTGGCAATTAGACTGTAGTTACTGAGAGAAGACCTACAATTGGCTTTCCATTGGCTCCACAGTGATCATCAATTTTTTGAGTATTTATCAGTCCAGGGTCTTGAGTGGGTTTTCGAACCTCTTTAGTTTCGTCCACGTGATCACAATTCGTTAATTCGTAAGACTGTTGCTGTTTCATTTGCTGTTTTATTGTTGCCTGACGCTGTTTGCGGAGACGAGCCTGCTCTAAGTGTCTTTTTCGTTCATCTTTGGTCCAATATCTTCCAAGCTGTATGAAAAATATGAAAATATAATGTTAAAGTACACTGCTGAAAGAAAAATTGAACGGGAACACGAGAATTTTCCAACTTGCTTGAATTTTAAATTAATGGAAAATTCAAGAATGCACTAAACCAAATTTTCTTAATTTCTATTAATTTTCACTAATTTGAAATTAAATCCATACTTTTATCTCGGAAACAGTGTCATCCTCAGTCGTAAGTCCAGCTCTCTCCTCAGATATCTCCAGCGTTCTATTCCCCAGCAGTCGATTCCTCACTGGTCGCCTGACAATGTACCTCGTTCCATCGGGTCTTCGTTTCACCTTCCACTCCATCCTGGGATCGCACTTGTCCTCCGGTAAATTCAGTGTATTTGCTTGACGAACCTGTTGACTACCGATGAAGTGATACTGGGTCAAATTGGGTGCCCTGAATTTACCCCTCGACTTTGAGTTTCTAACTCTCGTCTCTTTATTGCTGACATTTTTCCTATTAAGTGCTTGTGTGAATATCTGCTGCTGCAGCATCATCGTCTGCTCGAGATTATCAACATTAGTGTACATGATGCCAGATCCACTAGAGTCTTTATCCCGATTGTCCCAAGAGGCTCGATTATTCGAGACATTCTGCTGGTAATGGGGCTGATGGTAATATTGATAAGGAGTCTGGTACTGATGGCGATTTGTGCCGTGATAATAACAGGAGTTTGTTTTCTTCTCCTCCTTATCAGGAGTCACTTGATGGTTTATAAACTGTGGAGCAGAGAGGGAAGACTGAATCGTCCGAATCACCTGATTTTCAGCTACATCGCAGGAAGGTGGGGGTCTACTTCGACATGTTGCTGTTGAAACTAGAGTACTCGTGTAGGTATTGTCCGAGGGACAGAGGACGAGAGTGCTACCCCTGAGCTCTCTGGGATCCTTGTGCAGCTCAAGAACTAAAGGATTGCTGTGACAAGATTCTCCAGTATTGTAGGCACTCGACGAGTCCTTCTCCTCAATTGAACTGCTGCTCTTGGAGGATTTACTTCGGTGGTCATGGCCCCCTTCATTCCTTCGAAGATTCAATTTACTCTCGTAGGGAGACGAGTAAATGGGCTCTGCGTCGCTCTCCGGAATGGTCTCGTAGATGTGCTCACTGTCACTTCCAGCTTCTCGAGGCTTCCTACGCTTCCCACTGATGTTCAACTCATCAATCTTCTTCATCGACTCCTTCAGGCTCTCCCCGTAATTCGAATTCTTCTCTGTGATGCAGTCCTTGCTCGAACCGTGGGAGTTTTGGGAGGAGCAGGTGGATGACGACGTGTTCATGTTCAAGTTGGTGGTGTTGATGGGGAGACTGTGGGATGGCACTGGTGGTGGTGACGATCTGAATGCCCCCTCGCTATGCTCGTTCTCCCCGGCTCCCGAAGACTCGTACTGACGCTTTTGCTGTTGGAGAAGGAGCTCGATCATGCTGTTCTGGTACGCTGGGATGTTGTCAGAGAACAATGGAGACGATGTCTGATGGTAGAGGCATCGACTCACCAGGATGACAACGGTATTCTTCGTCTGTGCGAAGACTCTCTCCGTCTGCTCTTTACTCTCGATGTCCTTCCCATTGACCTGCAGGATCTGATCACCCTCTCGGAGTCTACCGTCTCTTGCTGCCAAACTGTCCTTCGCTATTTCGGAGATGTAGACCTCTGCAGCCTCAGAATTATCTCGATCGTACGAGTAATTGTAGCAGACTGTTAACCCCAGTTTCTCAGTGCTCGCGCTTTTCCGCAGTGTCACTTCCTCGAAGTAGACGTCCTCACGGAGTTTGTAGTCCCGCAGCTGCTGTGGGTCAACCGAATTCGAGAAGATCTCGTCGAATTCCTCAGCCTCTTCAACGTCATCCCCGTCGTTCTCCTCGTTCTCAAAGTCGTACTCTTCGCCGTCCTCGAACACGTAGTAATTTTCCTCGTAGTCTTCATTAATCAGTCCACCCAGATCCGTTTGAACCCCTGTCGATACAACACAAGACCATTTTCTCTGCTCTGATGACTCTGGTCTACTTGCCGTTGTCTCGGCATGCGATATTATCCTCGCCGACTGCTTTCGCAGTACCTGGATTGTTATGGGCTCTTGGGCAGTTTCAAAATAGCGCACAGCATCTTCGTGACTAGAATTGGAAACATCTCGACCGTTTATCTGGAAAAAGTTCCGCGTTACCATCCACTTTCTTCTTGTTTATTTTTTTTGCCTTTCGTTTGTGCTTCGTGATTTTTGTAATGAAACTGAAACTACACGTGGGAAACAATTTTGCAGATTTTAATAATTAATAATTATTAAAATCCAATAATTTACTACCAAATTCGCACGGGTTTTGAGTGAATTTCTTAAGTAAAAATCAGTAGTGAAGTGGTAAAACGGTTCAAGTCGAATATCTCTCAATCTAAGGGAGACAGCGAAATTTTCGTATTTACATTTGTTGTAGCTCTTAATCGGCTCTACAAAAAAGTTCATTATAAAAATTTTGTCATCTCCCCTCGATTGCGAGATATTTATTGAAAACTGGTCAATAGTCAAAATTGACTTGTACCGTTTTACCACTTCGCTACTGAAAGATTTTCAAATCACGAGCAAACAAGTTGGCACTTGAAAAAAATGCACTCATACGATTGTTTAACCCTTGAGCCTTCAAAAATCCCCCAAAATAATTTTTCCCTGTCGAATATTTTTACAATTAACCCCCACCCCTCGTTGCACTTACCGATAGAATAACAAAGTCCATGTTTGTGGTGGGGCCACTCTTCTTATTGTCAACTCAGTGTTGCACAGACAATGAAAACATAATCGTGCTCATTACCGGGTGAATTAAAAAATTCGAAATGTACAAAGGATACTGGTGAGTAATAAATATGAATGAGATGTTTTAGGTTTGGCTAGGACTACATATGGCGTCCTTGCAATGAGGTTACTACTCATGGGTATTCCCTTTCGAGCCCTTTCGATCTAAATTCCACTGGTGTCCGGAGAATTATCATCGTAATTCACAGTATTTTAGCGGTGAAATTTAGTTTCACATCCGTAAAACTTGACTCAACAAATTTCCGAAAACATTGTGAGTGAATGAGAAAATGGGAATAAAACTTGGTGTGTATGAACCCGATACAGTCTCAACCTCAACTGAGCCTGTGCCAGTGCGGTGTGGAGTCTTTTGTGTAGCCGCCCATCTCACGCTCCAGGCAAATGGTACATGAAGGAATGTCACGTTAGGCTACTGACCGACTAAACAAAGACAGATGGTCATCCAAGTGTCGATAACATCTCTCTCGTTTCAAGTGCACATAAATATATAAATAAAAATGCATTGCAAAGGCAAGTATCTGAAATGCACTATGACAATTTAATCAACGTCATAATTATTTCTCCAATATCCCCTGATCCCCTTGAATTAATTAACATCGTGGAGATGAGAATAATCACTGCATGTGGAATGATTAAAGAAATTTATTGTTTGAAAAATAGTGAGAATGAGTGGCATAACGAAATATCGATGTTACTCTTCTGAATTAATACTGCAGATATGTATTCACAGGTTCATTGCCCCCTCAAATAAATCTAATAATCGCTTCATCTCCTTGACTTGCTCAGCTAATTTGTAGATGGGGCCCATGGATTTTGATAACTCCTCGCATTTCGCCATCAATTGATACATCGATTTAATATTATGATCTACAGCATCACAGGTTTTGCACACTGCATCTCTGTATGTTTCTAAACAATCTACAGTAACAGCTGAGGCCTGCAAAAATGATCGACATTTAATGAATGAAACTTGATGCATTACATGCGTTAATAAACGATGAAAAAGCTTTTGAAATTACGCTATGGAGAATAGCTGCTAAATTCTCCGTCAGAGAGTCAACGGAAGTGGCTATTTTTCTCGCTTCCATCTCCAATTCATTGAGTGCATTGTGATCGGGCAATGGTAACTGTGGATTTAATGCCTGCCTGTATAAACAAGGAGTCGAGCTTCTCGACCCTGGAAACGACGGGGTGTCTCCCTTTTTCGTTACAGGACTCGACAGCTTTATTTTATTCTCCAAATCCTCAGCAACAAACAGCACCATGTCCCCCTCCTGCATGACAGTCCCCTCGAGTCGTAAATAGCCCATGGCTTTTCGATACCCGGGGAGATCCGGGCACTCTTCCTCCTCCTCAGGGCTACCCTCGCCGCTCTTTAAATTCAGCATGTGCGGCCTGTCAGCCAGGGCATCGATTTTCTTCATCCTTTCGTCTGTCATAAACTCGTCGTCATCGATATCCGGGGATTCAACGAGGGACCGGAGTTCTGAGATCGGCGGGGACGACTGAGAGTCGAAGGAAATTTCTGAGTAGGAGGCAGTCATCTCTTGGGGCTGAACGACAATCATTGGAGATGTTAAAAAAATTTCACACTAAGAATGAGGCCTTTTAACATCTAACCTTACTCGGTCTTCGTCGAAATCCATCGGCGCTATTTTATATGAATTTTGAGGTTGACTCGCCCTCGCTGGAACATCTGGCTCCTCATCCATTCTCGTTTCACTAACTGTATTTCTTTCAACGCTCGACACACACCGCGACATTTGGCTCCAATCGGTAGAAATTTTGGAGCAATGTTTTTGAAATAAATGTCAAAGAATCGAAGGCAAACGTCATCGAGGCGCTGCTAATCGTGACATGCGTATCAATCTGTGTATGCGCGAGAGAGCCGCTCGTATGGAACGCTGGTGTATGAATAAGTGTAGGTGGAGTATGTAAACGAGTGGGCAGTGACTTGACTGATGAGTGCTATGGTATTTTGGAGATTTTTAGGGAACACATGATCTCGGATTTTTTTTTCAACGGTAAATCCGGCCGGTTCCCGCCGTTAAATACATTGTTGGATAGTTGAGGTTTTATTGTAGGCACATGCTCCAAATTTTGGAGCACTCTGTACTCGTCGCTCCGTTTTACGGAGGCAGGAGCGATCCCCACCCTTATGAAATTCAAGTATGCCGTTTAATCAATAAATTTTGGTAATTTTTACGTGGCTTTTTGTTTGTTTATAGTGTGTAAAAATGTTTAATTGAGTTTAAATTGATGCAGATGGGCTGCAGGTGAGCTCCGAACATCTGCCTGTTTGCCGAATTATTTATGTAAGCGTTTGGATTAAACAGCAATGAGAATTCCTTTGAGCTGGCATGATTTATCTTAACAGATTAGTGAATTAATCATGACTTCCGATGCTGGACAAAACGGAAGGAGTCAGACAGGACAGACTGGTCAAATCACTGCTAGAGTACCGAGGGTCTATAAAATTGTTGTTCTTGGGGACGGAGGTGTTGGAAAGTCAGGTAAATTCCGTCGATAATCACCGAATTTTCTGTTTAAAACACTTTTCACATTTTTCACAATAGAATCGAACAAAAACAAATATAATTCCCGCTAGAAATGCTGTATAAATCCAATACAATTGTTTCTACGATTTTTTTTTCGCGTATGATTGAATAATTAAACTTGTAAATTTTTCAATGGTCGAATGAACTTTCTAGCTGTCACGCTCCAATTTGTGAGTCACAGTTTTCTGGATTACCATGATCCCACGATTGGTAAGAGCTGCATTATTCTAATTATTCCCAACGAATTTATATTATTGAACCACTATAATTTTTATTCCTTGGAAAAAGAGGATTCGTATCGACAGCAGGCAGTTATTGACGGTGAGCCAGCCCTTTTGGATATCCTGGATACTGCAGGCCAAGTGTGATATCAAATATTTCTTGCTAATTCATTCTCCAACTCTATACACTGAGAGGAAAAAATATTTTCTCAAACGAGTCTAGTTTGAATCATGAAAATTGCAAGTTAAAAATTACGGAAAAAAAATAAATCTAGTGCTGGCCATTTGAAGATTGTTCTCAGATGAAAAATTTTCGACACAAAAATTATTTTATGCAAAACCAAAGATGGTAGTTTCTTTCAATAATCTATAATTACAGATGAGAAATTAATTCTCAAATAAAATAATAATTTTATTGTATTTGATTTTTCATGCTTTTTGATTTTCAAATTCAAATCAAACAATTTATTTTTGGTAATTTTCAAATTGTGATTTTCTAGTCCAAACAAGACTTGATTGAGGAGTTGTTCGTTTTTCCCTCAGTGTAGATCCCCCATAATAATACGGAATGATCATTGCAGGTAGAGTTCACCGCAATGCGAGATCAATACATGAGATGCGGCGAGGGTTTCATGATCTGTTACTCCGTAACAGACAGACACAGCTTCCAAGAGGCACTCGAGTATCGAAAACTAATTTCTCGTGTACGAGCCAACGAGGACATTCCCCTGGTTCTCGTTGGCAATAAATTTGATTTACAATCACAACGAAAAGTCTCCACGGAGGAGGGCAAATCACTGGCTGATCAGTTGGGCTGCCCCTTCTACGAGACATCAGCGGCACTACGACAATTCATCGACGATGCATTTTATTCCATCGTACGACAGATACGAAATAAAGAACGAAACCGTGAGACAGCTAGAAAGAGAAGTCGATGGCGAAGACTTCGTTCAATTTTCGCTTTCATATTTCGTAGGAAGAATAGGAATACATCTCACTACTCTCCTTAAGAGTTGACACGATTATATTTTGTTTCATCATGCTGAGAATTTGACGCTTAGAACGTGTTTCCATTGATTTAGCTTCTAGATGAATTGTTAACGGTACTACTCATTAATTATCAGCATTGATAGGTGAGGCCGGGGCAAAATTTATAATTGAGGAATAAGTTTTTCGATATAGACTCATCACAAAGAAAAAGAATTTCATAGAAAATTCAATGAGTCATTAACATTTCAAGAAAAATCAAATGTCCCTTGTGTTATTGGTGTTGTACTTATGAGAGAATACGCGAGTTTAAAATTATTGTAATGTACATAGCAATAAGCAAGGATCAGTTCAGTTCTAGTCATAAATTGAGCATTTCAGTTGCAAAGAAATATCTATTAATGTTGAATAGTATAGGAACTTATTTGTTTTTTTTTTAAATTGAATGAATGTATCTTTTTATACAAAACATATTCGGCAATTTCAAACGTGTAAATGATGGCATCTATTTAACATTTAAAGAAACAACCTCGAGCTTCATAATTTACTCTGGACTTGAAAGATCTAAACATACCAAAGCTAACGTAAACCAGTATTAATACCAGAAACATTTTTCCATAACGAGATTTATGATCGATTAACAACGAATAGATAATGAATTAATTGAATATAAAATCCCAAAGTTTTTTAATGAAATAGAGGATAATTTATGATGTCGAGACAATACTCCACGGAAACATAATATGCTTGTAGGCATTTTTTAAAAATTCACCACGTATTTATTTCATATCATTGTTGAAACAAGGTATATTTTTAGAACAATGTAGAATGAACAAATAAAATTGTTCTCATTAATTTACACAATTCGTTAATTCATACGTACGGCTCATTGTTTACTGGATTTTTGAGTTACCATCGAGTTCTTTACAATGTGATTGTAGACGGAGTCCTGATTAACTTGGGATAGACTTTGATGTTTCGAGGGCTCTACAACAACTGCTGGATCGTCGTCAATTTCACCAGCTGTGTCAGCATTATTGTCGTCCACGAGGGAGTCCAAATTATTTGCCAGCGCTTCACAATTATTTTCTCGATTATTTATTTGTCAATGAGTTGAAATATTGCTTCATTAAATTGGGGAAAGAGGAACTTACGTTCTGGGTCTTGTGCAATGTGTGCTGCTTTACTACTGCACGTTCTATTGAGATTATTCAGTTCAATTTTAATCTGAAGAAGAGAAAGTATTGATAAATTGATTAGACGAAGGACAAGTCCATGAACTTGTTGGAATTCTTTAAATTAATTGACGCCTCACTTTGTCTAAATCAGCGTGAAGTTTTTGTGCCTCTTCTCTTTTAACATTCAATTGCTCATCAATAGTGTCCTTGTCAAGTCTCAATGCTGCCAATGCAGCATCCTTCGTCGAGCCCAACTGTCTCACAGACTCCAGCTCGCTGTTGCAGAACGCTCCCGAGTTGGTGAGCTCATCGTTACTCTTTCTCAATTCATTCTCTCTAACGTGTAATGAGGCTATTGTGTCCTGGGACTGTTTAAACCGAAGCTCCAAGTTGGCTACTGATGTCTCACATTTTTCACGCTCTTCCAGGCTTCATGATACAATTATAAATCATCAATAATATTTACATCTCGTTAAATAAATTGTTATCGAGATGCTCACCTAATTTTGATCTCTGCATGCAACTGATCAATCTGCAGTAGCAATTCTGTTTTCTCGGTTGAGAGGCTCCACCAATTGCACGTCAACAGAAAACAGATCAACAGAAGAACAGCAACAACACTAGTGGGACATCGTCCTCCACTAACTCGCATTGAATCAAGTGCCATTGAATCGTTTATTCACACTCAACTCGATTGATTGATTAATTACAACTGGTGAACTACTCATCAGCCATAACCTCAGAGCCCTGATGATTCGAGACTTCACCGGAGTATTAAAATCCTCACATTTACTGCCACGTTTGCCCTCACATTCTCCAATAAAATGCACAGCCGTAAAAAATTATATCTAAAATGCCCTGATCAGCCGCACGAAGCAACGAAAACCGGTTTTTCAACGATCAACGTTGGAGTTAATGGTCTTATTCGTTGTTATTCCCGAGGAGTACGAAAATTGTGGAGCATCGCATTAACCGCTGGCACTTCGAGGTCCCCAACTGTGTGAGCTTTAAGTTAGGGGAGAGTTTTTTGAATTGCCAGTTTATTTGAGTTATTTTGTTTGTATACTGATAAGAAAACCTACGCGACTGGTCGATAAGTCTTTCTATGTAACGATTCCGCCCCCAGAACGGCCGACTCTCAATGGAAACTTTGTGTTTTCCCTTATTCCTGCATTGACACAACTCGTTTGTCTTGTCATCCACCTCTGGAGACGTCTGCTCCATCAGAAGATCGTCGATTTCGTTGATTATGAAGCTCTCGTCGTTCAGGATCATATCGAAATCCGCAGTTTCCAACTTATTTTTGAACAGGGGCTCATCACTCGATATTCCGTAGTAGCCGTGAATAAATCTATCGTCAATCTCTTGGATTGCGAAGTATTCGTGCAAATCTCCACTAGTTGTCGCATAGATTTTTCCCAATTGTTTCTGAGGCTTTGCTGAATCCTTTTCATTTGATTTCAAAAATTTGGAGGAATCATCCAACGTTTCCATCTGTTTTTTCGTACTTTCGGGGACTGATTCACCGAGGGGACTCTCCAGTATGTTTTTTTGCAAACAGAAAATCAATGTCTGCATGTATTTCAGTTGTAGCTGCATGTCTGGTAGCTCCTTTATTTTTTCAATCCACAATTGTGCCACTGATTTTTCTATTTTTGGAGTAATCGATTTATTATTTTTTTTATTTATGGGGAACGTTTTTTACCTTTATCATTTTTCAATCCCGAGATCAATGTCTCAACGATGTTTAGAAAGAAGGGGACACTGTCCATGATAAAAATTCCGTACGAAGAATTTCAGCAACTCAAATCTACCCGCTAAACGCAAAATCACCTGATCTGGGTCAATGACATTTGAAAAAAATGATATTTCGTTGGGGAAATATCATTGAGATGGTAGCACTAGTTAATTCCCGTTCGAGTCCGACAAAAATTCCTGAAACGGTACGCGCCGATAACCAAGATTGTGGCACAGTAGTTAACAAATCCGCAGTATCTCTATTTTTTCTGGATATTATTTGAAGTAATAGTGAACACAGGATTTCGGATAGTGTAAAATAATAAATAGGATAAAATGGTTGACTACAGCAAGTGGAAGGACATAGAAGTGAGTATTAACCGCCAAGTGACAGAATAGAATTTTCTGGAATGCCAAGATTATTTTGGGTCCATAAACCCATTTCAGTTCTCTTTCTTGATGAACAAATATGTTAATTAATTTCATTTTCGCATGCATAATTTATCAATCTAGTTCTGTTGATTTTTCGTAGAAACATTTTTTTTAATTCCAATGTTTAGATTTCAGACGATGAGGATGACACTCATCCAAACATTGACACTCCATCGTTATTTCGTTGGCGTCATCAGGCTAGAATGGAGCGAATGGAGGAGCAAAAACGAGAGAAGGAGGAATTAGAAAAGAAGAAAAATGAGTAAGTCAATAATTTTTCCCCAAATAACTCCGCGAGCTATTCAACTAAAAATCCAATATCTTTCAGAACCCTGAAAAAACTCAAGGAGACAAAACAAAAAATAGAGAAGTTGGAAAAGGAGCACGTGAACTCCCAAGACTTGGACTCAATGAAGAAAGCCCTCCAGGAGCTGGAACTCGAGGAGATGAAGGTGAAGGAGAAAGAGCAGGAGCTGGAGAAGAAGGAGAAACTCACGCCCTGGAACGTCGACACTATTGCCCAGCCAGGCTTTGCAAAAACGGTAATCAATAAAAAACCCCGCAGGAAAGACGACGATGCAGACCTGCCCGACGACGTGAGGGAGCAAAAGATGAAGGATTTCGTCAAGGAGAATGAGAAAAAACTCAAGAAATTTGGAATGTTGAGGAAGCACGACGACAGTAAAGCTTATCTCCAGGAGAATCCCCAGTTGGTCTGCGAGAACACAGCCAATTACTTGGTCATCTGGTGCATCAACCTGGAGATGGAGGAGAAGCACGATTTGATGGAGCACGTGGCACACCAGTGCATCTGCATGCAGTACATTCTCGAATTATCGAAACAACTAGACGTGGATCCACGTGCCTGCGTCGGTTCGTTTTTCAGTCGTATCCAAGTAGCCGAGGTCGAGTACAAAAAGTCGTTTGACGATGAGCTGACGGCATTCAAAGAGAGAATTCGCAAACGAGCTGCTGAGAAAGTCGCCGAGGTCATAAAAGAGGCTGAGGAAGAGGAGAAGAAGGCGAGACTGGGACCCGGTGGTCTCGACCCCGTTGAAGTGTTCGATAGCCTCCCGGAGGCACTCCAAAAGTGCTTCGAGAGCCAAGATATTCCATTACTACAAAAGACCATTTCAGAAATGCCCGAGGATGAGGCGAGATATCACATGAAACGGTGTATCGATAGTGGGCTCTGGGTACCAGATGCCAACAGCAAACAAAAAGGAGGCGAGGAAGAACCTGTCTATTCAGAAGCTACAGACGCATCAACACCTGACCCTGAATGACTCTCAATGCCAAAAGGCCACTCATAATGCATTTTCCTATTTCACCTGGAATTTATCGGTGTGAATTCCTTTTTGTAAATTTCCGATTTGATTTTCTTTTTCAATTTCAGACAGAGGTGAATTTCAAATGAAATTATATCTTTTGTTACTCGTTATTGTAGACGTAAATGACTCAAATGATCTGGTGATAATCAATAAACAAGTCTCATGAACATTGAAAGAGTGATTCTGGCTTTTTGGGAGGACGAATACCGTTTTGGGCACGTTCTGGGGAAAATGGCGGCAGTACGAATCGCGGTGGAAAAGATGGACACGACAATTTGTGGACAAATTCTCGGATGGACAGTTTTGATGGGGTGGTTAAACAGGGCTTGGTATTGCAGGTATCCTTAGGAAATGTCTCGTCAGTTGAGATTTTTAGTGCAGCAGCACGGTGAAAGATGGCGGGATTATTCTCATTTCAAACGGAATTACTGAATCGAACTGGAAGGAGGCTACAAATGTCGAAATAAAAAATTTTCATTTTCACCTGGAAAAATGGTCATGTCTTGGAGTTTTCCAGGGGGAAAGTCGACTTTCGCCAAAATATAATTTTTTAGCCGGGTGAACGTTGATTCCATCTATTAAAACGACGGGCTATTCAGAACTATCAAAAGTATGTGGAAAAAGCGAAAACTGAAAAAAAAAATTTTCACCGGATGCCAAGTGTCGGATCTTGGATTTTTCCGGGGGGAAAGGCGGTCCAAGGGTCATAAGGGTCACAAGGGTCAAAGTGTCAGGTCTTGGATTTTTCGCCAAAATCGAATTTTTTAACCGGGTGAACGTTGATTCTAACTATTTAAGCGATGGGCTAGTCAGAACTGTCAAAAGTATGTGGAAAAAGTGAAAACTGAGAAACCGTTTTTTTTGGCCCCAGCCAAAGGGTCAGATTTTCGGGTTTTCCGGGGCAAGTCGACTTTCGCCAAAATATAATTTTTTAGCCGGGTGAACGTTGATTCCATCTATTAAAACGACGGGCTATTCAGAACTATCAAAAGTATGTGGAAAAAGCGAAAACTGAAAAAAAAAATTTTCACCGGATGCCAAGTGTCGGATCTTGGATTTTTCCGGGGGGAAAGGCGGTCCAAGGGTCATAAGGGTCACAAGGGTCAAAGTGTCAGGTCTTGGATTTTTCGCCAAAATCGAATTTTTTAACCGGGTGAACGTTGATTCTAACTATTTAAGCGATGGGCTAGTCAGAACTGTCAAAAGTATGTNGTCAGAACTGTCAAAAGTATGTGGAAAAAGTGAAAACTGAGAAACCGTTTTTTTTGGCCCCAGCCAAAGGGTCAGATTTTCGGGTTTTCCGGGGCAAGTGGATTTTCGCCAAAATCGAATTTTTTCGCCAAGTAAAGGTTGATTCCATATTTATTGGCACCTCTAATGCCAATGAAATGCTCGGAGGCGCCATAAATGTCGAAATGAAATGAAATGTCTTGTATAGGGTGTAGGAAGTGGAAAAACGCAATTCTGAACCGTCCA